AAGTGGTCCCACCAGTGTCTCGTCTTGAATAGTGGGGTGTAGACCGGTGACCGTAACCTTGAAGCGACCTGCGTAGTTTTCTACGAAGGCTTTCACCTCTTTATTCCGTTCCATTTTACAACAGGCAGGAATACTTGCCACGGCTTGTCGCTAAATCGGACACGTTACTAGCGTAGAACTGACTAGTACGCATCCAGATCTTCGCATTCCTCACCTCTTAGCCTTCTGTTTGGTCCCTAATGTTATCCTGTTTACTAATCGATAAGTTACTGGTCACGCCCACTTTTGACACTCACCAAGGTGACAAAAATAGGATAAAAGACGGTGCACTATTTTCAGAAGGCCTTGAGGTTAGTTTGCGCTTCTGCTTCACCTTACCAAGCACCAAGCATGCTCTCTAAAGCTTGACCAAGAAGTTGTTAACCTATTCTATATGTTTACGGAAGACGGTTTCCAAGGTATTCTCATCTCCGAAATTCAAACTTCCGTAGTACGTATTGTGAGTAGCCAGCTCGGAACATGCAAGAGGCGTGTGTCTATCTACACCTTCCTGGTTACACACGTCGTCCAGCGAGAAACCTTCGAGACACTCTCAGAGAGGGGAAACCTTGGCGAACTAACCCCGACGCGCCGATTATTAATAAAAATAGAAACTTTCTTCGTGTTTTTTTGACAAAATTTTGAAGATATTCAATAATAATATTGTGAAATAGCCGACAATATAATAACTAAAAACACTCTACTGTTTTATATACATGTACATTTAAAATTAACCAAGTTTCAGGACTCTGCAATTTAATTTTCTAAAATGAGTTTGTGGACATCTTTTTTCTTGCAATATTTTTTATATTTGGTGGAATAATTGGGATGTACGTATTGTGAACACAAAATGTACTTTTGTTAGTAGTTACGTTGGTTAAATGTAGTGTTAATGTAAATTATTATCATTTGTTACCTCAAAATTAATAAAAAAATATTCACTTTTATAATAAAAAAAAAAGATTGAAAGATCGATGTTAAAACAATTTGTAAATATTGTAAAATAATAAATTTATTCATTTCTATTTAAGTGTGTTTTATTGTATGCCTATATAGAACTTTAAAATGCCTTTGACATTTTTTAATATTTTGACATAACGCGAGGAAATGCTGAAAATCGAAACTCTCAAAAGACTGAGAATGATACAAAATGCTATAGATGAAAACGTGGATCGAAAAAAGAGACAAAAGCTGGACAAAAATTAAAGCAGCCATCTAGACTCAGCGCAAGTTTTGGATGATTTTTTTTAATATTAAACACTTAAGCTGTGTTTATACCACAGAAATCTGGTCAAGCTTAACCAAATTTATTAAGTTAAGTAAGAAATGAAAGTTTTTCTTCGACCTGATTTGGACCGAAACTTGCACTATTAACAGACCGACATTCCACGCACTCATTTCTTTTATGTTCAATTTTACCGCACTTGTAGCATTTCAATCGAAAATTGCCCTGTCCTTGTCCCAATACTGGATATTGTCTATTTGACTGTCGTCCATCATTCCATCATCCTTCTCTACTATGATTTCCAGGACCATGTGTAACCTGTTGAGAATTATGTGGACGTCCATAGCGATATAGATTCTTATTAGCAAAGAAAACTGCTGTGAACTCTTTATAATTTTTATGAGAATTTCCTTGACGAGATTCTTCCTATAAGAGCTGATTTTTCACCATATTTGAATCAATTCTAGTTGGATCTTGGCTGAAAATAATATCAATTGCTGTGACTGTTGCTTGATATGACCCCGGCATAGCAGCTAACAATTGTGAAACAATTTCGGGTTCTTCAATTATTTTTTAACCACTATTCTTTAGATCTGTCACTGTGTTTTCAAAAATCATTATAAAATCTGTTAATTTTCCACTAGCATACCTCATATTTCTTAATTTACGTTAAATTTCAACTTAAACAAACAAACCTTTTCGCAAATATATGTCTATTAAAGTATTGGACATAACTCTGGCTGTTTTTTATCTTTTACGATCTGTAAAAAAGGTATTTTAATACATGTAGTGCCATCTTTGTATAACTTTTGTAAACACTCGATGTATGGCGTGTTGCCAATATTGTTTATTGAAATAAAGCAAAAGTCGTTGCTATCGAACAAAAACATAACGTTTGTTCATCGAGAATCTATGGAGAAGCTATGAGCATATGAACGTATGTATTAAAAACGGCGTAGGTGGGCGTGGCTAACGATAATACCAATATGGCGGTGACATCAGGGCCAGACTCAATAATATTAAGACTACTATACAAATATGACTAGTTATTCAGAAGATTTAATCATAATCTAAAAAAGTGCAATACATTTTTAGTAAACTATGATTTATTTATCCCGCGGTAAACACTAAAAACACGATAAATTATACATAAAGATAAATTAATACAGTCAAATACTATTAATTTATTCTCTAAAGTACGGGCCATTACTTTGTTTACATATTTGTATACTAACCTGTGGAACGATATTCCTGAAGATTTTTTATTAACATTGCTTCTGCTACTGCAACTACGTTGAGAACAAGAAACCATTATTATGCACTATCACAATATGTTACAGTTTCTATAAAAGTATTATAAAACTAAAAATATTCGAAAAACAACAAATGTAAACAAACATATACGATCTGTCAAAAGTTTCAAAACAATATTAACAATATGGCCAAAGTGAGGTCGTCCTTGCGTTTGTTATTTCAATGTACCCCAGAAAATCCTCACTTCCACTATAATTTTCAAGAGGTTATGGGCCCAGCACTCAGTTTTAAAGTTCTATAACCTGAAGGTATCAGTTGTGAGTTTTTTTTTTGGTAACATAGTCACGTAGGGTCGAGTGAAATTCGCAGTTTATTTTGTGGACTGAAAATGGCGGCTACGAATTATTTAACCAGTGTGCCAAAATTAATGGGTCGCGAGAACTATGATGATCGGTCTTTTGCAATTGAAAACGTTTTTGTGCTTGATGGTTTATCGCAATGCCTGGAAGAAAATGGTGAAACAAATGCAGACACGCAGAATAAAAAGAGGGTAAAGCTTTGTTTATGCATTGATCCATTCATTTATGTGCATATTCGAGAGGCGGCAACGGCGTTGGATGTGTGGATAACATTAAAAAAACTGTATGGTGAGAAAAGTTTTACACGAAAAATTGATTTACTTAGGACTCTCATAAGTTTGCGGTTGGATAATTGTGACAGTATGGAGAATTATATAAGGCAGATGATTGAAACAGCCCAGAAATTAACTCGGAGTGGATTCGAAATTACTAGTGAGTGGATTGATTCATTGTTGTTTGCAGGATTGCCAAACAGATTCACCCCAATGATAATGACTCTGGAACACTCTGGAATTAAAATTACAGGGAATGCAATAAAGTTCACGTTAATTGATATGCAGAAAGATGGAACTGGTAGGAATGCGGGCAGTGAGAAATCTACTACTGGTGCTGAAGGTGTGGACTAAGAGGAGTGTGGATTTAAAATTGGCTACCTGTAGATTGACCGCCGTTGCTCTCTTTGTTTTGATCACGTTCACGTTTTTAGAGTTCTAAAATTCCAAGATCCAAATTCCTGTTTACTCTTCGAATCACAAACTAATCCATTACTGGCACATAACTGGGCCCATAAACTGAAGTGATTACTGAATTCGAAGGAGTAAAACAAACAATATTTCACTATATATTGAATTTATCTATCTACCTATCTAATCAGCCTTAAACGCCCACTCTTGGGCATAGGCCTCCTCTGTTTATCTCCATTGGTCTCTATTTTGGGCGATCTGCATCCAGTCCTTTCCTGCCGTTCTCTTAAGATGCCGTCCATCTCATCTGTGGTCTTCCTCTTTTTCTTTTCTTTTCCCATGGTCTCCAGTGTAGAATTCGCTTATTCCATCTTTCATCTTTTTGCCGGAGAGTGTGACCGGCGAAGCTCCATTTAAGTTTTGCAACCTGTCTTGATACATCGTTCACCTTTGTTTTTTCTCTAATTCATGAGTTTTCCTGTCTTTAAGACCGATACACAGCATCTGTCTTTCCATTGCTCTTTGTGTTTTTAATATCCTGTCGATGTTCTCCTTTGTGAAAGTCCATGTTTGTGAGCCATATGTGATAACTCGTAAAATGCACTGGTTGAATACTTTCGTTCGCATGTATTGAGGGAACTTTTTATTTTTTAGAATATATGAAAGTTTACCAAATGAAGCCCATGTTAGTTTAGTTCTTCTTTTTATTTCTTCTGTTTGATTGTCCCTGTTCAGCTTTATTATCTGTCCTAGGTATATGTATTCTGCCACCTGCTCTAATTTATTCTGTTTGACTACTACTTCTAATTGGTCTTCTTGGTTTGTCATAGTCTTGGTTTTACTATAGTTCAACTCTAGACATACCTCTGTCGCTTTTCTATCTAGTTTTTCAACCATCTTCTGTAACTCTTCCTTATTATCTGTTATCAGGACTATATCGTCTGCATATCTCAAGTGGTTCAAGAGCTCTCCATTTTTTCTTATTCCGTATATTGAATACTTTTAATAAATAAGAATCTTGATAGTCATCGGCCATTATAATACAACAATAAACAACATCAAGTAAACTCTACTGACTTATTCTATAGTTACAATCTGACACGACATATGTCACTTTTAAAATCAAGTCAAGAATTCTGGTATTTTAACAAAAATATATCCATGAAAGACCAACTGCAATACTAAGTAATGTGCTAGCAAATGCACTAGAATACACGCCAAAATTAAAGCAATAAGAAGAAGAAAATGTTGCTATGTAACAATTTTTGTGTAAAACATTTTCAATATACACATAGTAACTGATATTTACTGTAACGACATAAGCAAAACTTGTAAAAAGTGTGAATTAATTGATAAAAATTTTTATTCAGTTCCGGTAATATGAAGAGTTGCTTCATAATATGCTGCTGTTTATTATTTGCAGTAGGACTATCTGCAGTAATGGAAAATCAAACAAATAACCCAGATTCTTTACAAAGTTCCGTTCTTGATATTTTAAAAGAGATTTCCAGGGAAAAGGTGACTGAAATCGCTAATGATCATCTCCAAAATGACGAAGGTTTCAAGGCTGCTATTAAATACATGAAAAGTGATGAGTGGATAAATCTGATAGAAACAATCAAGGTGAAACCAGAATGGATAACTCTTAAAGATTATATAAATACTTTTGGTATCCCAATAGATACCCTAATCAAATGCGCTGAAAAAATTGTACAAAATGTTACCATTACGGACATACCTGAAAATACTCCCAGAAACTTAACATCGTTTATTTCTGATGTTGAAAAAGTTATTCAACCGGCCGCAATTTTGATAAAAATAACCAAACTACAAAGTAATCCTGAGATGGTGCAAGTAATGCAACAACTAAAGACTCCTGAAACGAAGTCAAAATTTGATGAAGCTCTTCATATTCCAGAGATTAAAACTGTTATGGATGAATTAAAGAAGATGGGGCTTTGTTTGTACGACCTAATTTCGTTTATATATTACTTTTTGGGTTGGGGAGAGTTTAAGCAATAAGTTTAAGTAAAGATTTTTTTAAACTGTTTGATTTCACGTTCTATTTAGATTTGTTACACATGTTTTAGATTGTAACTATGTTTATGTAATAAAGTTTTTGCTAGATATCAATTTTTATCTTACACATGATAATATTGCTCAAGTAGCCTGGAAGAAAGTCCGCGTGGATAGATATTTTGAAACATGATCCTTGATATAATAGTTTTAATACTACACATTTACTTTCGTACATAATTATTATGTCTGCAATTATTGTCTATTCTGCTAAAGCTACTGGATTTGCTTTTCTACGTTTTATCTAATCCTGTGTTATAACTTTCTAGTACCAATCATATGCCGTACTTAATAGGTTTGCTACCGATGACTTATTTAATTAATTTATATCAATTAACATAACTAATTGTAACATAACTATTAATAACTAAAGCATTTGGCAAGATGCCAGATATTCTAAAAGGAATGCTACCGATTTGCTTGAAGAAAAAGGTTTACAACCAATGCATACTGCCAATAATGACATATGGTTCCGAGACAATAACTTTAACCAAACATTCTGCAAATAAATTGAGAGTAATCCACAGAAAAATGGAAAGAGCAATGTTGGGAATAACTAGATGAGATATGGTACCAAATAGGATAGTGATAGAGAGGACTAAAGTGACAGATGTCATAGAAAAAATTGCATAAGCCAAATGAAGATGGGCTGGACATATAGCACGTTTAAATGATAATAGGTGGACCAAAAGACTCATAGGATGGAGACCTAGAGAAGACAAAAGACACCGAGGCAGACCATCAAAAAGATGGATGGACGACTTGAGAAAAACAGTCGGAAATTGCATACAGAAGGCGCAAGATAGAGAACAGTGGAAGAACATGAAGGAGACCTATATCCAACAGTGGATGCAAGAGGTTGAGGAATGAACATAACTAACGAAATGCTCTCAACAAGTCCGAAGAAGCTGTTTCTTTGAAAGTCTAAATCAATGATATATTTAGAATTATCTGACAAGTTTCGCGCTAACTTTTTAGTTTAATGCAATTGCTCTATAAGAATTGTAAACCGTATAGACGCAAATAGCTTTAATATTATAAATTACCAGCACGAGTAAAGTGTGTTTCCGTTGGTTCAGGTATGGAAACACTCAAACTAAGTTGGATTGAATGCGTTCGAGACGCAGTTGCAAAATTGGTAGTAACCATTTCGATGTACGCGAGCAGGTCTGTTTATTATGGTCATGGCTATAGTGCATCTGGACAGGGCACACTTGTAAACCCTTGAAATACTTAGAACTCTTAAGATGTATCAGTGGTATTACTCTTATCAAACGGACTAGGGCCATAGGACCTAGTCTTGAACGTTTCTGAGATCCAGGATGCTCCAAGCTCCCATATATGTTATAATTAGTAGGGGCTCCTTATCCTTTAGTAAGCTTGTGGCTTCACAGAAAGCCATATGCCTCTTTAAGAATAATTCCATTATTTGGCATGTGAAGAGGTTTCCTTCTTTTCTCTCATTTTCGCCTCCACAGAAGGCACCATATGCCATCCGCCAATCTAAGCAGATGAAGGTGATCCCTGAGTCTACAGTGACCCGTAAGCATTCTGGCGATCAAAAATCTTATGCGGTTTAGAAGGAGCAGTTGGTCTGTACGACTTTTGAATGTCCCACTATATGAAGCCTAGTCTATCTCATACCTCCACAACTGGTCCAACAGTCGTGGAACCTCTTCAGAGAACCTCTTTGAGACTACCACGACCAGTACTGAAGGGGTACTCCAATTACAAGTTCGGGTCCCACAGGTAAAATAGATCAGCCTCTGATTGCGTTAACCTTTATGTTCCCTTACACGCCTGTGTGTACACATACTAAGTTCTCTGTTGCTCAAAAACTAGCGTAGAACTGACATTGGTCGCTTCCAAAGTCCTTACCGCTTTTTCCGCAATTCCGCTAACATATACTCCAGCATCTGCCTGTTCCTCCATTCTGGACCCATCCGTGAAGCAGGTGACCTTCCTTCAACAGATCAGTGCAGACACTGGTTCCAACACTCATCACGGTCAGGAAATTGAACCAAGAAGGATGAGAATTGAAATTGGAGGGCTATGCTGTCCTGTACCATAAAGAGGACAGGACAAGATAACGTTGTTCCAACGTTAGAAAAATTTGACAAGACATTTTAGTCATATCTGCCCCCAATATCAATTATTGATATTGTTAAAATCTAAGTAAAATGTATAAGTTATCTTGTAAATAATGACCAACATACGTGATCTCATTTATTGAGTAGCCTGTAGAAGTTTTTGCACTACCGTCAAATACAACTCTTAATTTTGTACTGGTTGAGGATTCTTCTAAAACAGGATGATGTAAAAAGAATCCGGAATTTTCATTGGTGTACTTTATTATTTACATCTAGTTGTGATATTCTGATTTTATTGGACTGCTGAGTTTTCTGTCTAAATTCAGAAAACGTGTTTTAGCAGTATTTTGAGAATCCCTTAAGACTGATGGAAATCTCTTTGGAGGAAAACTTGATTTTAAGATATCCCTCTACTTTCCAAAACTTTGTGAGCTGTAAATCTAAATGACCAGAACAAATGTAACAATCTGTGGGAAATGCTAAGCTCTTTTTAGAATGGAGCTAGAAATTATCCAACAAAAGTAGTTTTATGAATGACAGTAATTTAGGACCATGTTTAATTTGTCCCACGCTTAAAATATCCCAGAATTTGTCAGCTCCAATAAGGTCTACAAGACCAGGTTTTTAAAAATTGTGGTCAGCTAGAAGTAAATTTGTTTGAATATTGAGCTGAAAACGACTTACACACGAAGTGTGTAAGTATAGGAAATTCTCTGTTATGTTGTGCAAAACTAGACTGGATGTTTCTCTCGAGAAATTGTGAAGATGTGATTTAATTGTTAGTAAAATCCGGAAATGATTATTGCAGGTTAATTTATTATTTACCGAAATTTAAGTGTTAATGTTTTCATGAGGAAGTTTCTCAGGTACAAAATTGGATTGACTTCCGTTATCCCAAATAACTCTGCATTTATGTGAATTGCTAAACTTGTCAAATACATTGACAACAGCAGCTCAAAGTAAAATGTACGGTTTAGCAAAAATGGAAAACATTTAACTGATATGATGTGTTGAAAGAGAAAATAGAGGTGAAAGTAGATTCATTAGATTGCAGACGAGTGTTTGGAACATTGGAAGATAATGGAGTATGAGAAGAGTTATTTTCTGTGATAACAGATTTAAAGATTCTGAATTTTGAAGTGTAACATAGTTTGATGGATCTTTCCACATTTAATGCAACCAGGAGAAGGACAATCCATAGTGGGAGGGCCTGTTTCAATGCATAAACGTAGATGTTTGGCATTGTTTAACCTATTGTTAGGATTTAGTTTTGAACAGTCAGGACAATAATATATTTTGTGTTTTTTAGTACAAAAAATTAATTTTAACCTGTTTTCTGTGGTAGATAGTCTGGATCATAATATGTCAGTCTTATTATGTTAGCAACTAGGTGGATTTCGGTCCTGTTTGTTGCTGCTGCTGTCATTGTAGTTGTCTAATGATTCTAAAATCCGATATTGTTCCTTTAGAAACTTTAATAAGTCGGCTTCAATTGGCTGCTCTGTCATATTGTCAATTTAAATGTCAACATAATATTATTAATTTGTCATCATGGCGAATAAAGTATTTCTTATTACAGTGAATATTTTGGAGGGAAGGCATTACATTTGGGAAAATATGGACTCCGTAGTTGTCATTAGGATAGATGGTCATCAAAAATCTACAGGAGTACAGAAAAATACGGATTGTCCCTATTACAATGAGGTAATTTATTTTATTCGGATTTAACAGCCATCGATATGGTTTCTTATATATTTAGTTTGAAATCAGTATAATAAATTTGTAGTTTATCATCATCATCATCTTGGTGATACAGCCCTTAGAGGGCCTCGACCTTCCCAAGCTTTCTACGCCATTCTGTTCTGGCCCTTGCTTGCATTTTCCAGTTGCCGACTCCGATCTTCTCTACATCTTGTGTTACCCCATCCATCCACCTCAACTTTGGTCCTTTGTCGTAACTTGGCCCCTACCATGAAATGGTCTGAGTCAATATTTGCGCCTCTGTAACTTCTGACGTCCATTAGGTTTGTAAAGTGCCTTCTGTCAATTATAACATGGTCAATTTATGATCAATGATTTGTGGTGTGTCCATTTGGTGATATCCAAGTTGCTTTATGGATATTCTTATGATTAAAACATGTACTTCCCACAATTAAATCTTTGGAAGCTGCCATACTAATAAGCCTTAAACCATTGTCATAAGTAACGTCATGAGGGCTGTGTTTAACAATATAATCTTGGTATCATATCTATTTTCCGATCTGGGCGTTCAAGTCTCCAATTTTTGTTTTTGGCACAGCCAAATCATCTTTTTTTTATCATATGCTCTTTCGAGGTCTTCATAGAATAGATCTTTAATTTCTTCGTCTTTTTCTTCGATTGGCGCGTGCACGTTGATCATGCATATGTTAAAAAATTTTCCTTTTATTCGAAGGATGCATAACCAATTATTTATGGCTTTAAAAACCAATAATAAAATTTTTGATTTTCTTTGATACTAGGAACGCGGTTCCGAACTCATGTCGGTTCGGGTTGCAGCTTTAATATATATAATGTTCTTTTTTCTGCATAATGCCGGTTCCTGTCCATCTCATCTCTTGAATGGCTCCAATGTCTATTCTATATTTTAGGAGTTGATCTTGCAGCAGCTTCAGTCCCGCTGTCCTATACGGCGTTCTTACATTCCAAGTACTGATCTTTATATCATTGTCCTTAGTTCGGTGCGTGGGCCGTCGTCTTGAATTCAGTCCGGCTTTTCTATCTCGAGATTTCATAACAATAGGTTTTTATGGGATGAAGGAGTTAGCCTCATGCCCAACCCCGTTTTCGGAGAGCCATTTCTCCCTTTCTCGTCAGCCCTGACCCCATCTTTCACTGGGGTTGGTTACCCAGTCTCCAGTAGGGTTGCTCAGGTTTACCGGGGTTCACCCATCTGATTCGGATTACACTTCTCGTAAGTGAGGATAGGAATTGAGTAGGAGAGGCTAGAGGTGTTATCTGGAAGTAACACCTTATGATGCGCATCACTACTCAATTTAAACCCCAAATTTGTATTTCGCAATAAGAAAATTAGCCACGAAGACTAATTGAAGCGTTTATTTGAAAAGCAATATCCAGTTTTTGTAAATTTTATTTTATACATTGTTCGCATGGAATAGTAGTTTGTTTATTGATCTCACACATTCAGTTCTGTAAAAATCCCAGATATCCGGAGTAAACTACAAAGAAAATTCAAATAGTTCTAGAAAAACAGTAGATGTCCATGCGGTTTGTTGTAAAAGCAACACGTTTGTTTCTTTTGTATTAGAAAAGTAGTTGAGCATGGCAGAAACTGTTCAAAATAATACCTTTAACGTTGTAGATTATAGCATTTGTAAAATTTAAACTACAGATCAGCCACGAAAGGGGAAACAAAAGTTTATCGAAGGGAAACCATAAAACAAGATAAAATACATGGAGTTACTCACAAAAGGCATAAAGGTAATAAGGATGGTTTAGCCCGAGCAACAGGAAATGACACCAAAGACCATCTATATGGAGTTGGAATAATTATCTCTCTTGGAGAATCCAAGCAGCCGTTGTAAGTTTTGTTCCCTTTTCGGATAGAAAGCTATTACTACAAATACATGGTAGACCAGTGAACATTACTGTAGTACAGGTGTATGCTCCAAGTGCAGATAAATCAGAAGCTGAAATAGAACATTCTTATGAACAACTCAAATAACTTGTACAATACACAAGAAAGAAAGAAATTACTATAATAATGGGTGACTTAAACGCAACGATAGAAAAAGCTGAGTCGACAATATAATAGGTGATTATGGTTTAGGAATAACAAATGCTAGAGGCGACAGATTGGTTCAATTTTGTCAAGAAGAAAACCTGGCGATTATGAACACATGGTTTCGATTATCACACCGTAGACTATATACCTGAAGGTCACAAAATGAGGATGAACAAAATTGTATTAGGAATCAGAACGACTTTATTCTAAGATTTAGAAATTTCATTGTAAGCATTAAGACTTTTACTGGAGCAGATGTCCTCTCAGACCAAAACCTCCTTTTTTCAAAAATGAAACTGAGGGTAAAAAAGATAATAAAATCCAAAAGTTCTAAGGTTAATACTGATTACTCAAGATAAATGAAATCCGTGCTGAGACTTCAACTCGTATCAATCAAAAAATGAAGAAATTAACATCAGAAATGAAAAACACTGAGAATGTGAATATTATGTGGAGCAAAATCAAAGGTTCTGTTATAAAAACACAGAAAGAAACTCTACAAAAGAAAACAGAAAGCCGAAAACCTCGGATGACTCAGGAAATACTGGAAATATTGGAACAAAGAAGAAAATATAGAAAGAAAAACCCAAATAAGTATAAAGAAAAGCATAAGTTAATACTGAATAAAATAAAAGCTAAGGAGAAGTGGATGATGGAAAAATGCATCGAAGTGGAAGAATTGCAGAAAAAGTATGATTATTATAATTTACATAAAAAATTAAAAGAATTATCTGGAAAATCATCAACAAATATACGTAACCGATTAATTAATAAAAACAATAAACCTATCAATAGTCCAATTAAAATAAAAAGTATCGACTAAATATATTGAAGACTAGTAAAAAATTTATATAAAAACTGCTTAGATGATAGATGTAATTAAACAATATGTGATAAAAAATAAACGCTAACTGCATAGTGTTGTATTTCTGCAAAATACATATTTTAGTACATCATATTTGCTAAATAACAAAATTCGTTATTTCCATGTAATAAAACATTTATTTTAAACATTGAATAGCACAATAAATAACTGAAATTGCAACTTGAAAGTAGTGTTTTCGGTGAGGTTAGATATAACTGCTAGATGTGAACTCGGTTCATTTATTTGTGAAATGCGCGTGCCGATGTTGTTTAGCAGTCAATGAGCTGTTCAGATCTCACCGTCTTTTAAGCTGTATTTCTCGATGACAATTGGCGAGACAATTGTCATCACGTGGTTGCGGATTATCGGAGGCCAGTCCATTTGAACGAGAAGATGTTTATACGGGACCAACTATTGCCATGCCAGTAGACAGCTAAAAATAACACAAACCACGTGTATGTTTTGACTGACACCAGAGAACTAGAGGAGGGAACTGGCAAAAAAACAAGACAATACTATTGGCTTACACCGTTCACATGGCCCCAATTGTCGCGACAATTGAGATTTCGAGTGGTGGGGGGCCAACTGGGCGCAGCTCATCGTCCTCAGTATACTCCCGGAGACAACTGAATTTTGGGCCAATTGTGAGGGCAGTTGGCAAGGCAATTGTCCTGAAGTGTTTAGACGAAGACAATAATTTCATACCAGTAAGTTGTTTTATGACAAGTTTCTCGCCAATTGTCGTCGTGAAAACGCTACTTTAAAGCATGTCATCGTAAGCGTACGGAATATTAGGAGATGTAATTCGCTGTTTCACTTCTGCAACAGTATGTATTAAAGGGCTAAAGAAAAGTAGCAAGAAGAAAATCATTAGAACTTAGACTCTCTGTATAATCAGAAGTAGAACTAGTAAAACTGTAACTGTCCTGTATATATAACATTTTAATCAAATATTTTTTGTTGCAGTATTTCGTGTTTGAGTTTTACACTACATTAGAAAAAATATTGGAAAAAAATATCAAATTATTGGTTAGTATCAACCTAATTCATAGTAATAATGTTTTTATAATTTTTATTTTTAAATAGGTAATAGAACCATGCAAAATCTGGAGGAGAAGGAGAACCCTTGGAGAAGTGGCCTTGGATGTAGCTACAGTGTGGAAACAAAAAAGTAAGTGAATTTATCCGAAATTTTTACGTGAGTTTCGGTTTTGTTTATCGTTAAATAGTATTATTTTTCACTATACAAGCTAGACCAAGATACAAAATAAATGGCAAGAGTTGTAATAAAAATCTAAATAATGAATATAAGAAGTAAACTGACGACAAATCTAATTAACTCTTCGCGGCACGGGTGCGTGTCTATAAGACAAGCCAATCATATTTTTACTATTTGCAAATAGACCCGTTAGTTCTAATGAACTGGAGGTTTGCTTATTAGTTCTTTTAGACGAACTAGTTCAACAGAACTATTTCACAAAAATGAACTAGTTCAGTGAACTAGTTCGCGAAAGAACTATTTGTAGGACCGATATCGAAATCCAACTTTAACAGAACTGGTTAAGATCTCAATCATCACACAAGCTCGGCGCTGGCCGCCCTTTTACTTCAGTTTTCAGTCAGTCTTTCACTAGTTCACTACCGTACAAGTAGTTCGGAACTATTTCTTTCTTTCAGTCAGTCTTTCACTAATTCACTAACGTACAAGTAGTTCGGAACTATTTCTTTCCATCGTATGCTTAGGTTTAAATGGTTTAAATTATTATATGGCTAATCGGCATTTTTTTAAACTAGTTAGTCCAGCCATTCACAAAATAATAAATATATGTTCTAATTCATTCATTCATTATTTTTTTCTTTAGAAGTCGAGACATAATTTATAATGCAAATCGTTCGCAGTGAACTAGTTCTATGAAAATTAATGAACTAGTTCAATTAGTTCAGTTAAAAGAATCGTTCATTAGAACTATTTCCATGGTGAACTACACATCCTTATAATGAACGGTTTTACGAGGATGGATTGATATAAAACTAGCCTTTGATAGAAAAAACACGTTTTTTGGAATTAAATCGATTTATTTCTCAACATAGTCTCCTTTTAGCTCGATACACTTAGTAAGACGATGTTCCAATTTTTTTATCCCATCCAAATAGCACTTTTGCTCGAGCTCTTCAAAATAGGCCGAAGTTTCAGCGACGACTTCATCATTTGTTGCGAAACGGCGTCTTCCTAGCCATTTTTTTAAATTTGGAAACAGGAAAAAGTCGCTGGCGGCAATATCTGGGGAATGCGGTATTTTCGACCTAATTCGGCTTTAAATCGATAGTACTCACGTACTGCGTAGTACTCACCATTGATTGTTTTTCTTTTTTCCAAGTAGTCGATGTGGATAATGCCCTTAGCATTCCAGAAAACAGTCGCCATCACTTTGCTGGCCGAATGTGCACTATTTGCCTGCTTCGGCGGCCCTTCGCCGCGTTTGCGCTACTGTTTCGACTGTTCTTTTATTTTTGGTGTGAAATAATGCACTCAGGTTTCATCAACTGTGATAAATCAGTGAAAAAAATCCTTCGGATCACAAGTGGTCGGAAGTGGTCACACGTTTTTGCATTTGATCGATTGTCAGAAAAGGCGGCACCCATCGCGCGGATAGGTTTTTCATGTCCAAATAATAGTAAATGATGTTGTGTACGTGTTCGTAGAAAATGTTTAGGACCTCTATTAACTCGCGAAGCTTAATTCGACGATCTGTCATAATCATATCATGGACTCTTTTGAATATTTCCGGCGTGTTGTCTTCATTTGACCTACCGGGACGTCCATCATCAAAAACACTCGTACGACCACGAACAAATTCAGCTTTCCAAAATTTTACTCTTGCTAACAAAAGTGCAAGCTCAGCATAAACTTCGTCCAGGTTGACTTTGATTTGCACATTCGTTTTATCCTTTTTGTGGAGGAACTTAACCACCGAACGATACTCGACTTTTTCCGTTTCTACGACAACACAAAATTTGCTTACTTTTAACAGCTGTGAAAACCAAACTAATTGTTTTTAACCCTTAACTACCATGGCCAAAAATAATAACATTTGTACCATGGCAGGGTCAAATTTGACCCCCCATTGTTTTTTGTATCAAAAAATAGTCTTTTTTTAACTTGTTTTATTTTAAATTATTTTGTTTACAGCTACTTTTAAATTTATATAAAAATAAATGAATTTGGTTAATTAGATATAACTTTATTTAAAAAAAAACTTTTGTATTCAGTCAAATTAACATAGCTATGCACTTTCTCGAATTATAAGAAAAATAATAACAATGTGCAGTTTTTATATCCAATGGTGAAATCTAGGTATCATAGCTCCTACCTAAAATAAAAAAATCGATTTAGATTTCGTATCTCAAAAATGACAAGCATGATTTTACCTTAATTTTCAACACAGCTTATGCATAACGTCTGTATGCGGGAATGATTTTTGCAAATAAAATCTCGACATTTACCACACGATGAGCTTTCTTTTGGTTTTGAAATATGGACTTATTTTACACCTTCCCCTCTTTTTTCGTCGTTGTGGCTCTGGATTTGCGGCATGCATTGGTTCCTGAAGTCCGGAAACTTTAAAAATGGCACTACGAATTTCTCTCGGTAAACAAGTTTGCTGAGCTCTACGAGTTAAATGGGCCTTAATAAGTTCTTGGCCTATAGTGGTTAGAAACAATCTTCTTTGCCTTATTTGATTTTGCTGAACTCCATTAAAAATTACGTTAGCATTTAATCATGTAATGTCCAAAATGCGAAACCATATTACTTGAGGCCATCTACGAGTTCTTCTGCCAGTTTTATAGCATGCACATTTCTTATCCAATGAATTCACCCCACTTTTTGTCTGGTTGTAAAAATTTATAGTCTCTGGCTTTCCATTAACCATTGTATTGGAATGATGCATAGTTGACACTAACAACACTGCACGATTTTTCTTAGGAACAAAAGATACAAGGCTCTCGATTCCTGTAAAATCGAATAAGGCAGAATTAAGTGGACTGTTTTTTTGGGGTTGAAATTCAGCAGGAACCTCTCTTTTATTTCTTTTTAGAGTTCCAACATATGAAATTTTATGGCTTCTCAGTTCTTTTATAAGCTCAATAGACGAAAACCAATGATCTGCTGTTATGTTTCTATTTGTACCAGAAATTGGTGGAATAAGTGTCAAAACACCTAGAGTGGGGATGGATAACTTTTTTGGATTTGCTCTGCGTGTATCTTTTCCAGTATATATAAAACCATTTAGAAAATAATGTGTCTTAGAGTCTACTAAACACTGCATTTTCAGACCGTATTTGTCTGGCTTATTTGTGAGATACATCCTGATTTGGCACCTTCCTCTAAATGCAATAAGCATTTCATCTATTGTGAGATATTCACAACAGCTATAATTGGACAGGCAATTAATTATAAACATATTAAAAATATTGGATATAGCTGCCAGTTTATCTCCGTGTGCAATACGTTCTTGTCTGGTAGCTGGGTCGTCAAAACAAAGGCTTCCAAGCAAAAAATAAAATCGATTTAGTGACATGGTTGCTCGAAATATATCACGGCCAATACCATTCGTAGAAAATAAAGACCTTATATCCTTATTATTGGATTTAAATACCCCAGCTAAATATAATAAGCCTAAGAAGGCCTTTAATTCAATTATGTCAGAATGATTGGTATATTGACACGATAAATTGTGTAAATTATATTTAGAAGCCATATTAGTTATTCGATCATTAGTTTTCTCAAGAATTTCTTGCAATATATCGTGGCTAATAATACATTCTCTGGCATATTAGCTCGAGCTTTCCCAATAACACCAGGTAAGTGACTAATTAAATTATGCTTACGTGTACGAGAAAAGGTGGGAGAAGTTTTAGACCACTTGTACCTATTTTTGTCATAAAACACATCCCTTGAGTCAGCTATATACCTTTCTTCACCGGAATATTCACTACCAGTTTCGGAATTATTAATTTGCCAATTTTTTTCGTCATCATCGTCCCATTCCTCTTCACTGTCTGTTTCGTAATCACTGTGTTCACTAGCCTGGTCTAAAAACTCACTGTCACTATCTAGTCCATTGTCCATAATTTTTTGTACCTCCTCTTCAAGTTCTTTTTGTGCCAGAGGAGGTTTATTGCGACTACATTTCGCCATTTCAAATTACTCGTTAATTGCACTAGAAACACTTATACCGTAAGCGGGTCAAAATTGACCCTATGCGTGCCTAATTACTACTCTGCAGTAGTAACAGATAAACTAACGGAATTTTCGTAGATCGATAAATCACCTACCGTTCGAAGATTAGCAGAATGCGCGCAATGCTCAATCTATGTTTCGGTAGCGAAACTTGGCATTAAAAACACGGGGGGTCAATTTTGACCCCGCCATGGTACTTAAGGGTTAAAACTTAAAATTTTGACAGACGTCATATCATGAATGGCAAATGTCAACACCGAAACCAAATCGGTATCAAGTAGTATTCGGTATCTATCAAAGGCTAGTTTAATATCAATATATCCTCGTAATTTCTCTTTTTGATATTTCCTTGACTCGTTTTACCTCAATAATATACGTTTTACTTTAATGTTCTGCTTTATAATGAATACCATTTATAAGTTAGTATTTTGTATAACGTTTTTTTTTTATTTTTAGGCCACCAGTTTTATCACAAATGGGCAATTCTAGGTACTACAAAATTAGTTGATTTTACTGGACCACGAGGATATTTAAAAGTCGATATTTGTGTATTAACCAAAGGTGAGGTTCCAAGAACACCGACCAATATTATTAATGACGAGATTGAAGGGTATGTTAAACCATATTCACAAGGTGTAAGAAAAAGTAGATATAAATTAAAATAAAAATAAAAGGAAAGACAGTGAAGATTTGATTTCACACACAGTGCGTCTGTATATCCGCTTATACGTATCATATCCTAAAAGGAATCAGGGAATCAAGGAAAACAGTCTTTCGTGTCATAGTAGAAATGGCTTAGATATGGACACAATAGCGACATCTGATAATAAATCCCGAAACTCGAAATCCGAAGATTTCTATGTCTCTAATAACATTTTTATCAACGTCTGTTTTGCCTTGCAATTCTTAGAAGGCACAAGTTAATGCAAAAATCTGAATTTGGTTTTAACGATTTAGTTTCCGGATTTAAAAAGAAAATATTTTCTTTGTATAATCATCTCATAAAAAATTAATATAATCCAACTTCCGTCTCATAAAGCACTTATAAGTATTGTTACGAACATGCATTCAGCGTGGAACGTGTAACGGTTGCATCTCGAAACGGCTTCGAGAACCATCCACAGATCCCTCGAGCACAAGAAAATCTATGCGTCAAATAACGCATTAGAGGTGGGACTACTCCCGAATATTCTCGAACATAATAATTTGTATATATAAGTAACGATGATTGAAGTAGTTTAGTTGATAAGCGAGTGTTGGCGAAATAAATTCTCAACACAATATATTTTATTGTATTTTATGTTTTGTGTGACACAATGTGATCTATGTTTAACTTGAAATTTCAACGCGTGCGCGTTGTCAGAAAAAAGAAAAAGTTCGTTACAAAATGTCGGGCAAAAAGGGTGACTTCTGGCCAGTCCAATAAAAATTGTAATTATTATTAGAAAAATATAAATTAAGTTAAATAAAAATATTAGTGGCTCTTCCCTGTGGGAATCCAATCAGTTTGGTGTAAGTTGAGTTTGTGGAAATAAAGGTTTTATCGTGAAAAGTTGCCTAAATTATTCCTAGCCTCCAAACCAGCGAAAATTCTTTAATGTTGTAAAATTCCAACAGAGAGTACCGAACTGTAAACTTATAAATAAATATATTTATATAAATTCGAACGGCTCGTTTTATTTAATCTCGCTACAATTGGGGTCACGGTGTGAGATTAAAAAAAATAAATTCAGCAGTGATTTTTGAAAAAGACTTTTGAACTTTTGAAAAGTATTGTTGGTCGGGAACATCCGCGTAGTTCGGTAGTGATCTTTGTACGAAAGAACGTTTAAAAATACGTGTGTGCTTGGCCAAAGGTGCTGCTTGTAGAACTTTCAGTAAAACAGTTGCGTGAGCAACTAGAAGAACGCGATGAAGACTGCAGCGGGTCTAAGAAGATACTCCAAGAACGACTGAAGACTGTTCTCAACAAGAATGGAGAAGACTCAAAAACATTCCAGTTCCAGTCAGCAGAACAAGCTGTTTTAACGAAAATAAAAACGTCTCGCAGATGATTGAAGAAACTTCTAAAAAAATTGAAGAATCTTCTAGCAAAAATGATGATAAATTCGAGCACGTTTTCAAAAGATTCGATGAAACGTTTCAAATGATTAAAGAAGTAGCTAGACAGAACGACGAGACTTTACAAATAATTAAAGAAATATGTATTCAAAACAATGAGAAATTTGAAGAAATTTCTAAAACATTCGATGAAGTAGAAGAGAAGATCAAACAGTTAGAGAGCATGATAACCTATACAAAAGCTACCACCAGTTAATACAGTAGCCTTAGATCCGGTAGTGAAAGAAGAATTACCTAGAGACCAAACGACATATAATATGAGATTCAAATTGCCACCATTTGATGGTGAAGTTGATTTGGTCCATAAACCTTAGACAATTTGAAGCTATTGCGACAGCCAATCATTGAACAGCTTGACTGCTGCTTTACGAGGTAATGCTGCGGACATCCTAAGATCGATCCCTAAGGGTCAAGAAAAATATTACCAGACCTTGTTCACTCGAATAGACAAACGTTACCCATCTACAACAAGTCTACAAGGCGCAACTAAAAAGTAGAGTTAAACGAGCAAGTGAAAATTTGCAAGAGTTTAAAGCAGATGTTGCTCGTATAGTGCGGTTGGCTTATCCGGAGGTACCAGACAACATTTTGGAAGAAATTGCTGTAGATATCTTCGTCAATGGGTTAAAAGAAAGTAAATTACAGAAAGCTTTATGACAAGCAAAAATGTGAACTGTGTGCAACCAGTAATGACCCAGTTGGTAAAAAGAGGGCACCCATCAAACAGTACAATGTTGGTAGTGCTACGGAAAGAGTAGCAATCGACATTGCAGGTCCACTTTCAGAGACGAATGATAAAAATAAATATATCCTGGTAGCCATGGATTATTTTATGAAATGGACTGAGGCCTCTGCGATACCAAATCAAGAAGCTGCTACCGTTGCAGATATACTGGTTCAAGAATTCTCTAGCCGATTTGGTGTTCCCTTGGAGATCCACTCCGACCAAGGGTGAAACTTTGAGTCAAACCTTTTCCAAAGCGTTTGTAAATTGATTGGTGTCAATAAGACCAGAACGACACCCCTGCATCCTCAATCAGATGAAATGGTCGAGAAAATGAACCAAATGATGGGTAAACACCTGTCCAAAGTTGTATCAGAACAACAAAGAGATTGGAACCAGCACATTCATTTATTCCTAATGGCCTACTGCACGGCCGTGAATGAAACTACAGGCCAGACTCCAACTTGCTTGATGTTAGGTCATGAAGTTCGTTTGCCCTGCGACCTAGAGTTTGGCTGCAGACCTTCCGAAGAACAGGTTGCAAGCGAAGATTATGTCGACCGCCTAAAGTTAAGAATAAACAACATTCATGAACTTGCCCGACAACACATCCAGTTAGCCAGTGACAGAATGAAAGATCAATACGATTCTCTATGCACGAATGAAAGCTATGAAGTAGGTGATCTTGTTTGGCTTTATAATCTAAAACGTCGTCGTGGCCTGTCTCCTAAACTGCAAAGGCAATGGGAGGATCGGTATTAATTAAAAAGAGAATAACTGACGTTATATACCGAATTAAGAAGTTGCCGAAAGGTAAACCAAAAGTAGTTTACATAAATCGTCTTGTACCTTACGCTGGCTTAAATGAAACAGAAGAAGTCCGAACTCGAACCCTTCAACATGAGATCAAAGATGACCGGCGACTATGCTTTAATGAATTTATGTCAAATTACGCAGAGAGAAAAAGTGTTAGATTCGGCGTGACCACAGAAGTTCAGCAGGATCTTTTTAGTGTTCCGCATAACGTCTCTCTAGCCCACTGTGTTGCAAAAGATCTTGAGATCTCTTAGCCATACTGCACTCTCGGTGTGACATTTTCTATTGCCCACTGTGTTGTTCAAGTCATCGCAATAGATTCCAAAGCACCGTAGATTCTGTCGTAGTTCACTGCAGCGACTTAAAAAAAGCAGAGCATAGTGTAGTAGTTTTAGTGTTCGTTAATATAAATAAAGTAAATATAGGGTTGATACCTAACCTCAATAGGATTTTCAAGTAGAAACAGCTATATAGGAGTGTAAAACTTATGTTTAGATATATTATAACTTAATGCCTTAATAAGTTATTCTGTCTTTTAGCAATCTACTTCTTCCAGAAGGCAAATTTGCTGAAAGGCAAAGAGCAAAATATATTTTTGACGTATATAAATGCCACAATTTAATAGAGAAACCTGGACTCTCAATAGATGATATAGCCTCGGAAGAGTCTCAAAAGAAGAAATCATCCGTATATATTGCAATTACTTTTGCAGGTGCATGTGTGAGTAAAAAATATACTCTTGGTTTTGTAATTTTTATAAAAATAGCGCAAAATAGACTTCTCTCTTCTCTCTTGAATTAACACTTTGTAAATTTCTAGATAAAAACGTCGACTAAGAAGAATACCTCTGTTCTGGAGTTTAACGAAAGATTATCCATAGCCGATCTCTTTCCTCCTCTATGCCAGACAATAAAAATTGAAGCATGTCTTGGTGAGCCTCTTCGAAAAACCGTACTCTCCCAAAAGCAAATAAGTTTAAAGCATATATCAAATGATAAAGATGAAGGGTTCCTACCAACATTAGGTCCTACCTACTTACATTTATATTCAAAGAATCCTATGGAAGGGTATGCTGGATCCATTTTAATTTCTATTACTACGGAACTAGATACCGCGCTGATATCTGACATGAAAATAGAGACAAAGAATGAAGCTCTGCTGCCGCTGCAAGAGGTAAGATTCTTAAAAGTTGAGACCTAATGAAAGTAAGACTATGTGCCATCAGTTATAATTGAGAATTTGGTGTAATTTGTACATTATTAATCAGGACCGCATACACTGGGGAAATACGGAAATTCCTTCCTTTTCGAAGAAGGTCCAAAGCTAAACAATACTTATCACTTGTGTAGTTTGGACATCTTTTTTATGTCTTTTGGTTGGAAGTTTCCCTCCAAGTTGGAAGATCTCCTTCAAAGGCAAATGTCTAGATCCGCTACTACTATAAATTAAGAACCGAATAGAACCTAAGTACATATTTTAAATACCTTTAGTAAAAGTTATTTTTTATATATACGTATGACACAAGTTGCAAAAAATGCTATAAATTGCAAAACTTAACATGAAATTGAAACTGACTTATTCGCATCTTCTTTAAACGTAGGTGTAGAATGATTCTTCTCCACGTTTTTCTATCTTTGGCTTTTTTCTATTCCTTGGTTTCACTTCCTCTTGTGTTTGCCTCTTCTTGTTTTGGTTGCAGTTTCGGTTTTCAAGATGACTTTTACCGGATTTACTCCAGTTGTCAGAAACGAAAATGCTTCTCAACCTTTAAAATGCATACAAACAAACTGAATTTTGCTAAGAATGTAAATTTTGGGAAGCCAAAAAACGCAAAAGAGTTTGCCCCTTCTACCTCGAGGCTTCTTACTAAAACCCTAGTAGGAGGGAAAAATGGAAAACGATTTACCAAGAATCTGTGCTCTAACCTTTTAATACTGTTTTTTTCGGTTTGACCTTGGATTGGTCTCGGATGCGGTTCCCGTTCGGGTCTTATTCGGCTGTTTCATTTTCGGTTTTTCTTCTGATTCGGTTCCTATTCATGTTAGTTTCCTTTTATGTTCTTTTTCGGTTTTATCGGGTCTTCTTTGATTTTTGACAGATCTATGCTATTATTTAAAGAAATTCCTTGTCTTTATCCTAAATATTTTACGGTTCTTTTGGAATTTACGCAGGACTTTTTGGCTTTGTGCTGAAATGCCTCTTTGGGCTGCACTAATTTGTTTAAATTACCACCAACACTGACTGCGAATCAATTTTACAAAGTTTTTGAACTAAGTAGAAATACACTGTCGATTATCCTAAAATTAAAAGTAGATCATAGAAATGTAGTATAGCTCATCTAAATCAAATATTCTTTAGCTGTCCCTTACATGTCAATACAAGAACGTGGCTGCTTCAAGAATTGCTGAAAGACGACATTAAACTTAAAGATACTATACAAAAGATAATGTAAAGATAATACAAAATTTTTAAATTGATTGTGGTATTTCTGCAAAAAATTAAATTAAAGGTGTGAATGAAAAATTTGATCGTTTGAATGGATATTTCCTTTGTATGTGTACTTATTTATTACCCACTTATCTAAGCGTGGTGTATGTATTAAATACAAGGAAAGGTAGAAGGCCGAAGATCACGAGGAAGATCCCCAATAAGATGGATAGATCAAATTACAGGAATATGCCAAAGACCTATGCATGAATTAAAAGAAATGACCAGAGACAGAGATCTCTGGAATCGGACAATACACGACATCACGTCGACCACTACACTCCCCCTGGGGGGTCAGGATTGAAGAGAGAGAGAGAGAGAGAGAGAGAGAGAGAGAGAGAGAGAGAGAGAGAGAGAGAGAGAGAGAGGTGTATGTATTGTGTGTTATACTGAAGTCGCTCTAATGAACCCCTAAGCGTGACAAGTGTCCCCCTGTACAATCTTAAATAAATACTAATCTTCCGAATCTAAATCTTCTAAATGAATAAATACTACTATTTGTACTTAATTACGTGGCTAAGACAGGCCATTCACGTTCCGACTTGTGGTCCCACTTAGTAGGACTACTAGTTGGATGTTCGTCTCCACTCACGCTCCGACTTTCTATCCAACTAGCGGTCCAACTTCAGTTCTAGGTTGTTTTCACGATGGTGTACATCGCTTAACCAAAAAATGTATCGAATAAACACTACGCAAAATATAATAATATGATATGTATGTTTAAAAATTAGGTTTCGTTTCTCTAGTTATTTGTCTAGGGCTGAACTAATTAATTTTTTCAACTCTTCATTTTTATGACTTTTTAAGATGTAGGAAAAAATTATAGTTTTTAAAGATTTGTATAGGTATAAAATCTATATTTTATTTGTTTTAAACTGGAGCTGGGATTTATTTTGTTGTGTCTGTCGTATATTTTTAATAGGAATAATTTTTCGTGCAATTGAAAGTTATTTTCTATTATTTTTTGCGAACTAGGGATCTTTTGCTACAACTATGATTTAATTTTCATTGTTTGTTGATAATTCTTCCGTAGCCAATCCGGAGTATCGGAAATTTACCTGTATAGGAATGTCCGAAATAGATCTACAGAAAGGAAAATGATTTGCCCTAACAAAAAGGTAATTGTCGTGCAATTGAAAGTTTATTTTCTACTAAATATTCGCGAACTAGAGATCTTTGCGTAAAGTATTTCATAGAAATCTCATACGTTACAGGTGCCGAAAGTCAACTGACTGAGGAAATTTTCGATCCAACCTGTGATCCGACTTCCAACTTCACCATTCACGCTCCGACTTCGTCGCCAGTCGGAAGTCGGATCTTCAAGTCGTCCCACTAGTCGCACCACTAGTTGTCCAACTAATCCAACTAGCTCACTCACGGTCCGATTTCAGATCCAACTGCAGTCGGAACGTGAATGGCCTGCATAAAGGTTCGAAATATAAAAAAAACTGTTCAAAACGTGTTTATTATTCATTATTTTTTCTCATGTATTTAAATAGTCGATGGATATCATGGATACAATAGTTATTTTATTAGTAATTATTTATAATTCCTTTTAGAATAAATTTTTCGATCAAGAAAGCATAACCATATTTGCATGCATATCTGAGTTGACTGCAATCAGTCGGAAGTATGCAAAGAAACCTGTTTGTATAAGTATGACGTTTGGGAGTACGCTTCTACAAAAAAGAATACTACCGACAGGTAGAGAAGTAGCTACAAATATTACGGATGAAATGAAACCTATCAAAATTAACAAAAAATATTATTACCTCGACTATTATACAGAACAACCATGTTTGTGGTTAGTTCAAGATGTACCGTTTTTCAAGAAAAGAGAGTACAATTCGAATATTTTGTTCAAAATTGCAACAGAATTGGTAAGATTGCTAATATTTATTATAATTACGATGCAAATGTTAGTAAGATATAAGAAGTTGTGGGATAATTATCTCATGCTAGCAATATAATGGGATGACCCTATAATTATTCTATATAGCAGACATTGCCCTAAGACTAACCGAGATCATTGTTACATTTATTTACTTAAACCACACTGTTATAATAGCTTTTAGCTTAATTCCTGCTCCAGCTATGTCTATCTATCTATCTATAGCGCAAAATCTATTAATGTGTTGAATATAGGCCTCTCCCATTTATCTCTGTCTTCTGTTTGTCTTTTCCACATTGGACCTGCGCTTTGCTCAATATCATCTTTATATCTCATTTGCAGTCGACCTCTTGACCGTTTTGCAGTATATGGTCTCCAGCGGCCAATTTATTTATTTCAACTTCCATCCTTATATCTTTCTTTATGCCCAGCCCATTTCCATTTTAATTTCAATGCGACAGCGTCTGTTGTTTCGGTTTTGCATCTTATCCACTCGTTCCTCTTTTTATCTCTTATCGATATTCCCAACATTTGTCTTTCCATATCTCTTTGAGTTTTCTTTATTCTATCTAAGTTGCTTTTGGTACACGTCCACGTCTGGGCACTATATATCAGAATAGGTAAGATGTATGCATTAAATACTTTCGTTCTTAATTTTAAAGGTATTTTTTGGTTTTTGATAGTATATCCTGTACATATACAGGACAAATAATTAAAATGTTTAATTTGGTAGGAAAGAAAATTGGACAAAATAGAGGAGCTTCTTAAAAACGGGAAAGCTGAGATGTATGGTACAATTATTAAGCAACTCTTAGATGCTAAAGATTTTATTGAATTAAGTGGAAGCAAATATATAGACATCGTTGGTTCCTACAAAGTAAATTACAATACCAAACTGGACATCGAACGAAGAAAGATGTGTATCCGAGAAATGGTTTGTATCCCTTTACAGCGTTTATCTGCTACCTTCATTTTTGATTTTTTTAAATTCTCAACTCCAGATTAAGCTGTTATTTGCTTATTTTTTCTGCTCACTCGATTCATTGTGTCAAAAAAAAAAGAATCCATACGTGACATGATTCTTTTTTATTATAAGCAGTAGCTCAAATACCCTTATAATAAAAAGAAAACAATATTGCCAGTATATGCGTTGGTATGGTCCCTTTTCTTTTCATCCTCTTTCTAGCTCTTACTAAATCACAGAATACCTAGTGGTATACCGTTTTTATGAATCAGCAGAAAATATTACTTAATAAAAAACAGTATACTACTTTTTATTTAGGGAAAGACTTGTAGAGGTATAATAAAGACTGAAAAGATCTACGACAGTCGGTTTCTGATTTCTCGTTGAAAACGGGTAGATAAAATGACTTTTTTTTATTTAAATTTACGTGTCTCGACAACTATGGTCATTGACACGGGAACAAACAAAATCGGTATTTACAATATATGATTAAGCTACAGTTTTGGTACTTTTACAAAATTCGTAAATATTTTATATTAAATTATATAATTTAGAGTCTCTTAAAAACACAATCAAAGAGTTCATTGAACCAGGTGAACTAAGTATATCACTAAGGGTACCACTAATGTTATGCCGTCGTCGGGTGGAGCTGAAAGTACTGCATTTAAGTAGGATATGCTGTATGGAAAGCCGCGTGTTGTTGCAGTGTTCGCAGACTGGTGGATTTCCAGAACTCATGAGGTAACCATGCGTGAGACGAGTGTGTCCTATTTTTATTCGTCTGATTATTATGGCTTTGTCTCTTCTTTTTTGTATGGGAATTTGCAGTGGTCGAATTATTGGTTGTATTTGATGTAATTTGGATGTGCTTCTACTCCATTGATCTTGCCAATTTTCCAAGACTGATTGCCTGAAGAGATATTTTAGGTCCTGATGGAGCTGTATCCTTTCGACTGGATGATCAGGGCAATTAGCTTCTTTCGCCGCTTGGTCCGCTTTCTCGTTACCAATAACACCTACGTGCGAAGGAACCCAGATTATGGAGACTGAGGTGCCCGAAGTTAACAGCTGATAACAGTGAGCGTGTACCTTATTGACTATTGGGTGTTGTGATCTTAGGGTTTTTAGTGAATGTATCGATGACAGAGAGTCGGTGCATATGGCTATACGTTTGCTGCTTTTTGGTGTGACTTCTAGCGCCTTGTTTATTCCATATAATTCCGCTGTATGTATACTGCAGATAGTAGGGAGGCGAAATGACGCTATTGTTTCATTTGTTGTAGTAACAGCACAGCTTGTACCATGTTCATCTTTACTGGCGTCTGTGTATAAGATTGTATCAAACTTTTCCATGTCAATCATTTTGTTGAACTCTTGTCTAAACATACTAATGGGGGTTTCCTTTTTGTCGTATCTACATAGACTAATGTTAAAACTAGGCTGCTTTCTGGTCCAAGGCGGGGTATGAGGGATACAGATCGGGGTCATATGTGAAAAATCTGTGTTGTTAATTAACTGGTGTAATTTGCGGTCAAATGGGTATACAGACCTAAGTTTTTCTGTTGGCTTTATTACTGTGTGTCTGGCAACAAGCTTGGCAGCTGGGTTTGAGGGGTTGGCAGAGACCTTTGCAAAGTAATTAAGAAGTAGTCTTTGTCTCCTATAGGTCAGTGGAGGTTCATAGGCTTCAACTGAATGCTTTCAGATGGGCTAGATCTAAAAAATGACTTTAAAAGGTGTAAAAATAGCTGTCAATCTATGTGGCAAAAGAGCACACTCCGAATAATGAAGACAGCATAGGTTTAAATGAAAAACCAAAAAATAAATATAAAATTAAAATGTGATAGCTAGATTTTATTATTTTTAAAATCAATAATTTTTCTTCTAGGGAAATATACTAATACATGTTAAGAACATAGGTAATAGTTATTCATGTAAGAAGAATTTTCGTAAACTGAAACACATATGGAATAAAATAAACAGTTTAGTTGAAGATGTACGTAAATATTTATATGAACTTTAATTTTTTCTAGACAACTATTTTACTTTATAGATTCAAGATTGTTGGCCCTATGTTATTCTCTGGTTGGTGCATGGCAAGAAAAAAGTTGCTTGCGCTAAAATTTTGGTAAGGAATATCATGTATTCACCAAGAGAAGAGGAGAGAGGTCAAGACTGTGGTAGAAAACAAACGATTTGTTTTTATGTAAGTGTGCATTAACAATTTCGTCAGATCCATCGCAGTTTTCTCTACGGTTCTCAGTATGTGTGCCTTTATGCATTTGGTTTAATATGTTTAATATGGTAGTAAGCCAATTGGCATTATTTTATTATTATCACGTATCTATACTACACAAAGCAATTGAAGGATAAAATTATAAATTTAAACCATTTAAATAGCACAATGTGCCTTTTACGATTTTCACCAAACCATGCCAGTCAGTCATAATGCTTGCAAAGAGATCAAATTTAAATCGGCAGAAGTTTTCGGAAAGGACAATTAGCAATAACAAATATCCTTGTTAACTCTTCTATGTTTCTTATTTAGTTTCCACTAAATTTTTGTCAATTATGCCAAACTGAATGGTAATAGTTATGGTGGATCTGGACAGGACATATTAGCCCTTCAGATACTTAGACCTCCTGAGATGGGTCCATTGTATCACTGAGTCCTTGTAAGTCTGAGTCCTTTCTGCCATTCTGAACATCTAATCATTTAGTAACCTTATTGCCTCACAGAAATCCACAAGTTTCTTTAAGGGTAACTCCCTTATTTAGCTTGGTTGCATAAATATCATTCCCAGGATCTGCAACTTCTGGTAAGTCAGTGCCGGACACTTTCAGATGAGAAAATAAGACCAATTGTGTCGCAAATTCCTCGGCAGAATGTAGTAGGATCTGGTTACCCATATTGAAAGAGGAAGTTTTTAAAAAGAAAATACCAGTATAAGTCAGTAACATATAGAGGATATATCATTTATGTTTTTTAAATAACAAACATATAAAATCAGAATTTGGTGTTCATTAAAGGTATACTATATGCACGACCAAATACTTACCATGTGGGGATAGTATTTACGAGGTTTTTTCCTGGTTTTTTTCTCATAATTTACTATGGAATTACTAACAGGAGAATTCTACTGTCATTATGGCATGTGTTTGTTTTAACGACGAATTACATGCTATGATTTTTTCTGATGGATATCAAGTTAAAGTTGATTTCATGTAATCGAATGAACTATCTTATAAGTAAAATCGTCCCAGGAACGCAACTCTACAATATTGGCAACATCATTTTAAAATCGTCTACTTTAAAATGTATAATGTATGTCTGAATTATCAATATAAATAAGTCAGATAAAATTAAATTATTAGAAAAATTTTTCACTAAGTAACAAAAAAACAAAATTTGTTTAATTTACTAATGTTTTACAATTAAATTCCTAATTTCATTGAATTTACCTGGATTACCGACACAGAGTTTACAATTCAAGGCTGGATTTGTGATAATCTTACTACAAAATCTTAAACAGCCGAAATTGTGCAATGGATCCAGACTCTCTCTCCGAAGGCGTTTCAGCCCAAGTCGAGTCCTGGCCTTCTCCAGCATCCGCCTTTAAGCACTCCTATCCTTGACTTCTTTCCTTTAGTTGTCTACCCAGGCCACTATAGAGAACCATATTATGTTCTTAAAAAAATTATAAGCAATTTAATTAAAGCTACTATAATCATAAGAAAGTTCAAAAGTGCAGAATTGCTCATTCCAAGAATATCTCTAATGCTGACTGACTTAGCTTTTGATAATAAGAAAGTTGATTGATTTGAAGAAGTCCCAGTTTGTCAGCTAGTTCTTGGTGGACAATATTTCCTACTGAGTCATGGCGTTCTGTATAATAAGTACCGACAAATGCCTGGCAACCACCGGTAAGATGTTGGATGGTTTCTTGGGTTTGGCATCCATGTCGGAATTTGTCATTTTGAACTTGAGGATATTTAATAATATATTTCAGGCAATTTTTAGTTGAAATAACATGATCCTGAAGGGCAAGTAGGAAACCCTCAGTTTAGGGAAACATCTTTCCTGATGTCAACCAATAGTTCGGCGCTGTATTGTCGACATATTCTTGGCTGATCTCATTGAGATGTCGCCTATGCAGAGATTTACTCCTCCAGAGATTTACTGCGCAAATTGCTCGATGTAAAGTAGATGTTTCAGCCTGCATCTGAAAATATTGCTCACCTATGTCCATAAGTCCTTTTTCTCCTTAATATCACGGTAATTTTGTTCTCTTTACTTTTGTGCCTTTGTGAGAAGTTTATATTATTATGTTATTATATTATTTTATCATTGAATTTATCATTATCATAAAACATTATGGTCACTATTTAAATTTGTTACATAAATTCCAGGATCATCCTCATGATAAGAGTCATCTTGCGGCAAAAATGGATATCACGATGTTTCTTTATTTGGAGAGACACAAAAACGCCTGTGTTGCAAATGTTCCTTCATTAGGTTCCGATTTCCAGGAACACCTTGACAGTCTTCCAAGACATATAGTTGCGTCAGAAGTATATGTAAGTAAAACAAAACAGAACAGTCCATCACAAAATTGTCGGAAAACATTTTGTAAAACTCCAAAGTTTACTACTACTATTCCAAACTAAATATAATTTTAATCGGCTGATGTTTTAAATAAACATATTTATCACAGTCAGCTTTATATTGTAAAACGTAAGTTAATATTAATGCTGCCAAGAGAATACTTAAACAAAGGTAAAAGGTGAAAGTAAACTAGCAGTTTTTCGTTTTGTTGCCTGACTTTTTTATTCTTTTATGAGGGGGGGTGATCCAAATGTTTGAAACATACCTCGGTCCGAGAAAGTGGGCAGAAGTGCTTTCCAGCCTAGGTTATGCAGGATTTCTTCAGCGTCGCCACAATGATATCCGAGGCCGCGCGCTAGGGTTGTTCGGACACCATCGCCGTCAATGCCAGAAACCTACCTTCTACCTTCTTAATGCCTTGAATTCTTCTAACTAACTCCTTTAATAATCTTCTTGTAACTAAATTCTTGAATTCTAACTTTACTAACTAACTCCCTTGATAATCATAATCTGTAATTTACTTCATTTCTTCTAACTAACTTCCCAACTAACTAACTAACTTCTAACTTATTTAATTTTTTCTAACTAACTCCACTAACTGATTTAATAATAATCTGTATTTGACTTCCTCTAACTAACTGATTATCTACTCCAAATTACATGGTATTTATATGTTTTTCCTGGTTCCAGAATAATTTAGCAATAAATAAGGTTCGAATCATTCTATTTTTTCTATCTGAACATTAAGAAAACCTCAACGGAGCTGTTTCGAGCCGCAGCGAGCAAGGTTATGATTTCCAACATCCGAAACGGATAGGAACCAAAAGAAGAAGAAGAACATTCTGGAATAAATGGAATGGTTTTTGTTTATGTGATGGACTATGCAAATAGTCCTATTGACGTTTCTAGAATTTTCTCTGGTCTATATGTACAATTTACTTGACTTTTAGGCTCTTCAGATCAGAATTACACTATTATATGTAACTTAAACATTCATATGAAATATATTATCACTATTTTACATATGTAATTCTATTTTTATTTACATTCCAAATAAATAAACTCCTTTTTGACTGTGACACTACAGTGTATATCTGGTTGCATATACATATGGCTGACTTATATATTATTAAAAAAAACTTTCAACATTTATTATAATTCTTAAAAACATCCTCATATAATTATTTTTTAATAATATTATCTAGTATATAATTTATAAATTATGTCCTTAATTACTATTTAAATAAATGTATTAATTAACATTGTATATCTGGTTGTATATACACATGGCTGAGTTAAATATATTTCTATGCTAATTTTAATTTATTGTATTTCTGTTCTCATTATAATATATATATATATATAATATATATATATATATATAATATATATATATATATATATACTTCTTACTTGGGCGATCCTATGTTTGTTTAAAATGGTTGTTCCGCTGATAATATTTAATTATAATCTTAAATTATATACGGGTTTTTTAGCTTTGCGAGCTACGATGTTACATCTTTCAAGGAAAGATCATATGCGGCTTTGACAAGAGTGGATTAAGTGATCCATTTGTAAGAATAATAGCTCGAAACCAAGTCAAAGAAACACAGGTGACAATATAAGTCCACAAGATTAATAAAAAATTAATATTTGTTTATGTTTAGATTATCAACTATTCATTAAATCCAATATGGGACGAAACACTTGTGTTTACCGGAATATCGATAAATGTATATGAAGTCCCATCAGTTATATTGGAAATATTTGACAAAGATGAATTCGTAAGTATATTAATAATAACTATTTCGAATATTAATTCTATCTCCAAGAAATTAATATTTCTGTTGAAAATAAGCTACAATTTTACTTTTATATTAACTTTATTTGACGTTTGGATTTACACTTTGCAAATCGTTCTGATTTAAGACAATTAAGAGACCAAGAAAATAGATCCAGAATAATACTATCTCTAAGGAATTCAAATAAGAAGTTTTTAGGGTAAAAGTTTTGACGACTGTCAGTATAAATTCAGTTCATTACTACTTATTACCAGTAAAAATAAATAGCATTCCTGGCAATTAAAAGGGGTATTAAAATACTTCAATAAAGAACAAACCTCCTAAGCTTACAAATTAAAAGATGTGAGTAGCAGAGTAATAGTTTACGTAAAGTTTACATAGGAAGCAACCAAATAAAATGATCTGGAATGGAAACGAAAAACCCATAGAACAATCAGCCACTGAAACGGTCAAATGAGAAACCTAAAAATCCGTGGTAGAACGAATATTGTAGTGAGGCTATTTTTTCATCTTTATAGAAGGGGGTCTGGAATCTTCAAAAGATATCTTAGTCCAGTAAGCTGCCTGACTGACCTTAGTGCAGGATTTGTTCCTAGTACTACCGACGATAGTTCTCAAAGTATTTTAAAATGCCCTCTCGTCACCGAATCTACGCCGAACACCTACCTGCTAAATCAGACATTTCTCTTTACCTTGATTTATCTACTCTATCAGACTACCTTGATTTATTCACAGACTATCAGCAGGGAAGCTCCCTGTCTCGTTCCAGGTGGCGTGTGGAAAACCTTCATTGCTGTTAGTACGGCATCAGTCCCAGCCGGACATTTCCTCCTTCCACACAGGAATAATTTGTTTTATTTTAGGGTATAAGTGAATTTGTTGGGAGAACTTTAATAATTCCCAATCGTCGACTGCATACTTATAATTATGATAATATTACTTTGAAATGGATTAAATGTTTTTGTAACGGAGAAATTTCTGGAGAAGTGCTTGGCGCTTGTGAATATGTAAGTGTATAATAATTAGATATTTTTTTGTGAAATAATAAAAAAACATATAAATATTTCTATTTAGCAATAAAACACTGAAAACTTTTGATTTTAACACTTCAACAAAATTTATTTTAAACTCTTATCACTACAGCTGTTTCGGCCAGAGTTCCTTTCTCAAGTGGTCTATTTTTAATATGTATTTACACTTTATGGTCTTTAACTGAATAAGTTGAGAAAGGGAGAAGTGTTTGTCTCAACTTGGTCATTTAGAAATATGTCTGTATTTTTGCATTTGTTGATTTCCATATATTCTAATAAAGATAGATTGAGGCCTTCTTTTGAATGTGAAAAGTTTGAAATTGGACATTAAAACAATAATTATGGTATAAAAGGTGAATTGCATATGTAGAGTCTGTTTTTCTATTATTGAAAGCCTTTGTATGTTCTGCTATACATTTAATAAAAGTTTTACCAGTTTGACCAATGTAAGTATTTGGGTAGTCGCCACAAAGTGTAAATTTACTACTACGAATAGCACTGGACAATGTACTATTTGTCATAACTATTATCGCTACGCTTCAATAATAAAGAACACTTATCTAGTAGGCGTATATTATCTACTTAGATTTATTTAAATACTCTATGATCAAAAAAATCTTTGTTACTATTTAATTAATTTTTAAAACTTTTAGGTATTAGAAAACGATATGAAGTTAGACATACCACATAGGGGAAAAGTCTTTGGTATTCCCATAGATATTAAACCTATACTAGTGTCTTATAAAGTTGAAATTTTATTTTGGGGTATAAGAAACTTAAGAAAATTGAACCTGATGCAAATTAGAAGACCAAGAATAACAGTCTTTTGTGGGGATTATAGTTTAAATTCTGATACAATAGAAAATGCCTCACGGGATTCTAATTTTATAAATCTCACGGAAAGTATGATAATAGTAAGTATTGGAAATACTAAAAACTTCCTAAATTCACCCAAATGTACCCTAATACATAGGGACAAATTGACTTCTTTTTTAAAAACGCACCCCTTTAAATCAAATAAAGCCCCTCTAAGATCTAAATTTCATACCGATCCTGAAAAAAAAATTTAACTCGAAAGGGCTAATCTTCATTCAGTTCATTTTTGATTTTTTTAGGATTGGTCCACAAAATTAATCTTAGTCTGTAAATAATGGTAACTTGAAAATTTTTTTAAATAAAATATTTATTTTGGCTTAAAAAACTGTTTAAAAAAATAATGTAAAGGAAATTGGTATTGACCAAAAGGAAGCAGGTACAGATTTGATCATTTTTCATTTATTTTGTAGCTAATCTTTTACAAAAAAGTCGCATCAACTTTATTGGTTAAGAAATGAATTATTCATCTTATAAAATTAAATCAAATGACTGTTTTTAGACATTTCCAGAAGAAAAGGAATACGCACCTCCTCTTAATATTAAAATGTATGAAAGTAAACGATTTGGAGTTTATTTGTATGCGGGAGTTCATATTTCCAAAATCACATCTTTTTTTGTAGTCCCTATGACTCACGAAGAGAGACGAAACAAACTGTCTGATACTTCTATATACTCTTTTGAAAGCTACACATCTACCTTAAGTAAGTGTATGTTTTTAATTTTTTTACCAATTTTAATTATGAAAAGAGTGATTTTAGACAATGGTTTAATAACATTTAGTTTATGTATGACGTAACTGTTGAATCCTGAAATATTTAACATGCCATAGAAAATTCGCAGTGGCCATCTGCAAGTGGCCTGCGAAGCTGGTGGGGACAACCTATATAAAGCTTTCAAATTTCCATTAGTTTCCGGTATACTGCACAAATCTTATGGTGGTTTTTACTCTGTTCTAAAATGCCATTGTTGCCAAGAGTAAAAAATCACCTTGACCGGTCTTAAGACACTACACAAAAAAAAATATCGGCTGTTGCTTCGAAGTCACCAAACGCCTTTATAGTTTGAATGCCTCTGCTACACTAACTATGTACGTTAGGTTTTAAAAATCCAACGCAAATCACCTTCCTCTCACGTCTTGGAACTAGTTGGTGCCTAAGAACTTAAAACAAACATAATACCTCTCGACACTCGTTCGTCCCTACGAACTGAAAAAAACATCCTTTGTTTGCCTATCTCGTCAAAAAAACTTGAAATATTTCCAGTTCGAATATCAACACTACAACATACATTTAACTTCTTCGCCGAAATAAACCGAGATTTAACCTTGAGACCTTCTACTTTTAAATAGGTAGGTTATATTGATTTTTTCTACAATGTTTATAGAAAATTGGTGGATTTGAATGTAAGTAAAGACAAAAATATTTATATAAAACTCAGGAGTGAACTACAAAATTTAAAACGCTACAATCGTAGCTCTAAAAACAGGCGGATCAAACTGCTTAGATCATAAATCGTTAGTCGTAAGACGAAGATTTCAAGACACCACTATGATAAAGCAATCCTAATGAAGCATGAATTTCAACGAGGTTTGTTGGTCGAAGATAACGTTGTTCAGAACAAAAGCGAGCTTTTTTAAGGCACATTTCATAATTTGTGTAAGTCACAATAATTTCTAATAGATCGCCTATAAAAAATAACTGCCACAATTTGTCTATATTCTTTTTATTTCGAGCTGCTTCTTTTGGTCCAGGAAGATAAGTAATTAAATTGTGCCGAAATGTTCTTGTATTCTTAGAATAAAAAGGTTTTAGGTACCATTTGTGACCTTTCTTTAAATAAATTGTTTTGATATGTTGCATACTATCTTACTTGTAGTTAGTTCTGGACTGTCTACCGCTTTTTCGACCAAAATTTCTGAATTAGGTGCATCAAATTCATCTTTCACATGATCTTCAGTGTCCTCCAAATCTTCAGTCTCTATCTCCTTGCTCTCAATACATATGCCACCATCGTCAGTGTCGTCCAAAAACAACTTTTCAAATTTATCATGAGTTAAAGGCCGCTTTCTTTTATAAAGATTGTTCATGTTGGGGTTGTACTGGTATAACGTATGGACCTAAAGTTTTGGGAAAAATTTCACCTGGTCTGATTGAGAAGCAAAATGCGTTTAACAAAGAAGGCCATGGAATTGAAATGTCATTAGTTATTGACATTTAATAAACAAAGCAGAATATTTTGGTTTGTGCTCTGCAAAATGTCTTATAAAATTGATATTCGTCGAGGTGTTTATAATATGGTTGGGCGAATGTCGAAACGAGATATTGTTAATATTTATCGAGATCAAAAACATAAACAAATCGACAATTTATCGCACAATCAGAGAATGTGAAGAAGGGATTTTGGACCATATAAGAGAGGCAAGACTGATTGAAGCAGATAAGAACAAAATTGGGTCTCACAGCGAAGACTGGCCAGAAGATTTCATGTTAGAAAGACTACAGTATACAGGACCCTATCGAGAAACAGTATTATCTACCGGAAAAGAAGGAAAGCTCCAAAATACACAGAGGATCAATTAGAGAGAATTCCGAGATGTTGCCGCGCGTTAAAGCGAGTGGCATTCGTCAACAAGTTGATCGTGATGGACGATGAAAAATATTTTACTTTGTCCAACTCTGAGATGAAGGGTAACGATGAGTTTACACGAAAGATTACGAAAATGTACCTGATGAAATAAAATTTAAAAGTTAGAAAAAATTTGAGGACAAAATTTTGGTATGGTGTGCAATTTCTGAGGCTGGCTTATCTCATAGCCCTACATTGGTGTTTTTCGAGGCAAAGCTTTAAACGAAAATATTTATAATTCAAAGATGTCTCTCTAAATTGCTTTTGTTTGTGAACACACATCATGCAAATGATCAAATAGTCTTTTGGCCAGATCTTGCTTCATATCATTACGCGAGGATCAGAAGGGACTGGTACGAAACTAACAACATTACCTTTGTACCGAAAGCAGACAATCTCCCCAACCTACCTCAGGCTCGTCCAATTGAAGAGTTCTGGGCAATATTATTATACAAAACCGAGTATTCCTTCTATGCGAAAGTAAGATGAGTGATAAGCAATTTGGATTTAGAAACGGTCAAGGAACTAGAGAGGCACTATTCTGTATGCGCGTTCTATTACAAAAAAGTTGTGAATTCCGAAAGAATGTTTATGTTTGTTTCATCGACTTCGAGAAGGCGTTCGACAGAGTCCAACACAATACACTTTTCGACTGCCTACGGGCAGCAGGACTTGACCACTATGATATAAGACTGCTGAAATACTTATATTACAATCAAGTAGCCTCTATCCAAATTGGAGACAGTCCCACTGAAAAAATACCCATCAAACGTGGAGTACGGCAGGGTTGTGTTTTGTCACCCACTCTTTTTAATCTGTACTCTGAAGAAATCTTTAGGGAGGCTTTGGATGACAGACCAGAGGGAGTAAGACTAGGTGAGAAGTAATACAATATTAGATACGCTGACAAAACAGCCATTCTTGCAGAAAGTTTACAAGATCTCCAAACCTTACTAAATCTAGTCAGTGAAGCAAGTTATCGGAGAGGCCTAAAAATCAACATTTCAAAGACAAAGTGGATGGCAGTTGGAAAGATCCATATAGATCAAGGTCAGCTTTCTCTTAATGGAGAAGAGATAGAAAGGGCAAATCATTTCAAATACCTTGGCAGCTGGTTAAATGTAAATTGTGACTCTGATGAAGAGATAATATCCGGATCGAAATATCACGTAAGGCTTTTATGACCTGGAAACCAGTTTTATGCAACAGAAACCTGTCAATGAATATTCGTAAGACGGTCCTGAAATGTTATGTGTGGTCGATCCTATTGTATGGTTGTGAGACATGGACGTTAAAAACCAATGCTAAACAAGTTAGAAGCATTCGAATTGTGGTGCTATAGACGAATCCTAAAGATATCGTGGGTTTTCGCACACTTCTAATGAAGATGTTCTTCAAATGATCAATTCAGAACGTCTGCTCATAAACACCATAAAGAGGATAAAAAACAGAATACTTCAGCCATATAATTAGAGGACCTAAATACCATTTACTTTGCCTTATGATACAAGGAAAAGTGGAAGGAAAGAGATGGATTGGTCGAAAGAAACTTTCATGGATGCGTAATATTAGACAATGGTGTGGTTTCACAGTAGAAAAATTATTTCGCCGCAGCAGCCGACAGAGAAAGGTTTCAGGAAATTGTAAACATGATGACGGCCAACGTCTGAATACGGACACGGCACCCAAAGAAGAAGAAGGGCAATATTAAGTCGGCAAGTCTATAACATACATATAACAATGGTAAGCACAAAATCAGAAACAGTTAAGACGTTCATATATACAAAAATTAGAGAAATTGACGCCGACATCCAAGGAATGATGCAACGTGTCAGGGGAATTATTAGGTAAATCGAAAATAATGGTCCCTTGTCTGTCATTTAAATTTTAATTTATAATAAGGATAGTTAAGCTAAATTGTTGAATAATTTAATAAAAATAATAGATTATTGTGGTCAGAGTTATATGCTTTGAAAATTTTCCCAAACTTTAGGACCATACGTTATTTACCTAGTCAAATACAAACTATTTCTTAGTTTTTACCAAAATAATAAAATAAAAAAATTACCTGATAAAAATTGTTTCATGTATATAACAATGTGGCGTTGTATACGACGACAAATCGCTTAGATTTCACAACTTATTTGCACGTACCCTCTTGCCTGCGTGATTGTTGTTACTGAACTAAAAGGTACGGGAAATACAAGCGATGTATGTACAGAGCGATTACTTTTTTCACCGGTCATCAGCGACACCACGTTCTTGTTATAGGTTTAACGATACTGTTAATTTTTCTAGCTGGTAAAATTTTATAAATAATCAATTTCAGGCTCTATTATCCACCCAGTTGATAAAATTGAGGTAGATTTACAAATTGACTCAGCGGAAGATGTTCCCAAAACCGATGAACAAACACACTTTTCCTATTTTATTAGCCAATGTTGTAATTTTCTGCGAAAAAATACGCATACCCAAAAGGACACAAAAGCAATACCATCACAAGTTTCCTACGAGTTGCTCTCAGAAGAAGCGGAAGAGGAGTATTATATTGAAGATTACGATTGGTGGACGAAATTTTACGCATCCATACAGGCAAGTAAAGTATATAAAAAAACGGGTGTGGCAGTCCAGTGGGACTGCTGGTAGAAGTTATACTTCTATACACGCGTCCGCCGTTTCAAATTTATATAGGAGTCAATCTGCACAATCATTACATATGTAATGCTATAGGTAAGAGAGAGCAGAAAGAGAAAAAGAATTATTTATATATAGGTATATACATAAAAATTACACATACTCTGCAGTAAAATTCATTGTTTATTTTGTTATTAATATAAAAATTACAATACAATAAATAGACTGCAACATAATTCAATATAATAATACAATATAAATTAAAATGTAATATTCCTAAGTATTTAAAACTGCCAATATACATAACTTACTTTACGAAGATAAAAATAAAAAACCAACAACTCGGATTATATTGTAAATTTTTATTTTATTTTAAAATTTAACATTTTTGCGTATATTGCATATATTTAATAAAATTAACGTGATATTTTAAATATTTTAACAATAAAAAAGAAAATTCGTAATTGGGATTCGAACTCACAAACACCAGCGTATGGACCAAACACGTAAAGGATTTGCCAATTAGACATGACACTAACGGATTTCAAAATTGACAGTTCTCGGTCAAACAGTGATTTTTTAAAATACAAAACCTAAATTCCGCTCTTGATACCTGAGGGTTTGTTTTAAAATAATTAAAAACGTTTAATAAATAGTACAAAATATATCATATAAATAATAATATAAATACATATTATATTATATATATACAATATTATATGTATAATATTAATTATATATAAAAGGAACATTTTTATTCTCGAGAGAGGAAGAGAGAGAAAATATATCTTCTGTCTCTCTCTTACTCATTATCTTATTCATTAATCTGGCATTGGACCTTCTGGTTCGAGTCCCTCACTGTTCTGTGGAGCCTTCAGCCCTGCAGTTCGGACATAAAGTCTTTCCACCACTTTGAGCAAGCAAAAAAAAGGGTTAGGTTAGATTAGGTTGAATGTGAACTGTACTCGAACAAGTGCGAAGGATTTTTGGGCATAGTGTGTATTTTAGTTACTAAATTACTCGCTACTAAAATACTAAAAGACTAAATACCAGCATAGTGCGAACTAGGCTATAGGGGTAACATAACTAATGGACATTACTCTGAAATTATTATTCTCTGAAACACACACACATACACAAACATGTATACACATATCCACATATATATATATATAATATATATATATATATATATATATATATAATATATATAATATATATATATACAGACACATGTTCTTGGCATTAAACAGAATAAAACCTACAATTCTATACTTTTTTTAGAGCTCGGAAAATTTGGACTACCACAGCTTGACAAGAAAACGTACGTTAAAGGTAACTAATATTAACTTAATTTCTTCTTATTTTAGTACCCTATCCGATTATCGAATTGAAATTATATTGGCAGTAATTACTTTGTTTACGGCAACTTGAAACAAATTAGCGGATGTCTCTTGATACCACTCTCGGAGATTTCGGAGCCAGAATGTTCTTCTTCGGTCTGGGCCTCTTCTTCTGGAGATCTTGACATAGAAGAAAAAATCGTTTGGGCTAGAATTGTCAGTAATTATTTAATAGGGTCAGTATTTCTTCTCAATAATTTAAATGGAGTAACTAGTACCGTTACTGATCAGATAAAGCATGTGATTTTTAAAGAATGATGGTTTAATTCAATATAGCGATAAGGCTAGGATATTTTTATTCTTACAATTATCTTGCCAAAAAAGACTCACACCATATTCGGAAGATTCGGCGACTACCAATACGGCTTTCGTGCTGGAAGGTCAACTATAGATCCGATATTTACCATCCGACAAATATTAGAGAAAAACTGGGAATTGAACCGCGATGAAACGAGATTTCCAGCAAGCATAGATTCCATAAAAAGAAGTAAATTGTGGATAGCAATGTTGAAAATGGGAATACCAAGAACATTAGTTGAATTAACGCAAATCTGCGTGACAGACGCATAAAGATAGGGTCAGGGAGCATGGCATAAAGGCAGGGGGATCCCTTGCCACCGTTGCTGTTCAATTTTGCTTTAGAATATGGAATAAGTAAAATATCGTATGAGCTGACAGAAGTATTTTCTGATCAAGGATCAAAACTGTTGCTGGCCTTTGCTGATGATATACATGCAGTCACGCATTCAACAAGAGACGTGAGAGAGGTGTTTTTATAGCTCGAGGAGCTAACGAGTAGGCTGGATCTCCGCATAAATTAAGAAAAGACAAAATACATGGTAGTAACCAAAAAATCTAAAGACCAAGAGTTAGGCAGAACTTCGAAGTAGTAAAGGAGTTTAAATGCCTGGGGGCGATAAGCACAGTTGACAACCACATAGAAAAGAGGTCTTAGCAAGAATAACTGCGGGAAATAGAGCATTATTCTCCCTTACAACATTATTAAGATCGAAACTGCTAAAAAGAAAATCTAAATTAACACTGTACAAGTCGATTATTCGCCAAATTTTTACATATGGCAGTGAAACATGGACTTTCTACCAGCGCGAAATCAATAAGCTAGTATTTGAAAGAAAGGCTCTCAGAATAATATTTGGTCCTCAAAGAGATGAATTCACAGTGGATTGGAGAAGACGCCGCAGTGCTAAATTGGTGACTATGTATGGAATTGAAAACTTAGTTAGACAGATCAAGGCAAACCGAATAAGATGGCAGGTTACGTGATACGATCAAAGATGACAGAGTGTTAAAGGCAGGTGGTAAAATATCAGTAGGACGACCGAGAAAAAGATGGAAGGATGATGTTGGAGCCGATTTATCTAAAATTGGGTACAATAATGGAAATAGAAGCGCAAGATCGTAGAGGATCAATAGTAGGAGGAAAAAGAATATCCAGCACGTTAAATAGGAAGGAGATCCAATGCATCAAGTAAATGGCCACCTTGTGGTCCAGATCTTAATCCTGCGCGCAAATAATAATTTATTATTTGCTTATTGGGGTTTAAAAGGAGGGACTGAACAATTACTGGGCTTAGAGATGAAGTACGCAAATAAATTGAAACATTTGCGAACATTTACTTACGGAGATGTTCTAAGCAACACCACACAATCACAACCAACTTAAGGATGGATATCTTTCTTAAAGAAATAATTTTAAACTCCTTGTTAAAGAGAAACATATTTATTTTTTTACAGTTATTACAAATCTTTTTTTTTAATTCATCAATAAACCTTACATCGAGTTTAACCTTCTAACAAAACAGAATCTAATAAAACAGACTTTTGGTTCCCCAAATAACAGAAAAAGATACAGGAGGATAAAGGATACTAATTGTCATATGTCGAAATAAAGTCTCAAACTTTTCTGAATTATTAATGAATTATCAAGGTTAACTTGATTTAATTTAAAGAAAACTAAAATATGACAATTAGCTGATCCATAAAACTTAAATTTATTTAATGAAAGCAAATCTCAGTATAATAACTAAAAATGTTTATTTAGAAAAATTTAACAAAACTACTTTTTCCACTCGATAATTACTTCTTTTTAAATTATTAAAAAAGTTTGTTGCCTTGGAATTGGATACAAAAAACACTGTTGCAACACAAAATTCCACAATCTGAATTCGATCCATGAGAGATACAAAATGGAAACTGGACAAATCATTGGAAGAGGTCAAACTACGGCTGATTAATTTTCACCTAAGATCATGTAGGGCTGACTTAGCCCTCAAAAACGCTGTTATCAAATCCCGTAACACGGAAGACAACAACAAACCGGTGATTAACTCACTTCACAAAGACTGCCACATAGAATTTGAGCAATAACCTTCTTTTTAACCAAAACCTATTCGAATTAAGCCAAAATTTGCCAGTTTTTTAAAACTATAACCGAAAAGGATATTTTTTCGTTCGGACCCCAATTATATCTTCTTAAGTGCGCACTAACGAATTTCCGATGACACAACGAATAACGAATAACGATAACGAATTTTCATGTGTGATGTGGCTCCTGAGATTTGTTAGTTTTCGCATTTTTTCTGATATCTCTAAGACCTGCACCTTTCCATTTAACAGTTTCAATTATGTTTTAAGTTCTTTCCAAATCTTCTTCTTAAGATACAGCAGTTTATGTTTGTAAAACAAGATTTGGATGTGTGTATATATAATTTATAATAGTGGACTGATTTATTCTGAAAATTCTTTGCAGCATTTACTCATAATATTAACCAAAAACAAAAGCAGGAAATACGTGAAAAATTCTAATCTTATAAGAATCCCGTTGCCTTAAGAAGTAGTAGTCTATAGCAAAGGTCTTATAAGTTCAGAACTTATAACTTATACTTCAGACTATACCCAAATATATTATGTTAATTGTATTATTAGGCCCAAAGAGAGAAAATTGAGCAGGCCACAGCAGCAACTCTTATTTTAATAGCATCTTAACAGGTTAATTTGGCTTTTTATTTGACTGATTTTTCCGCTGTTGATACCTGAGGGTTTGTTTTAATTTGAAATTTAAAAAATTTTAAAATAAAGTTAACTTTCCCTTTTTTAATGTATAGATATATGATTCAGAACTAGAAATTCAATCAGAATTCAAAGTCTGTGTGGACATGCTCAGTACCGTTTCCTATATTTAAGCGAAAAAGAATCTTTAAAAATTAACCTTTTCGTTTTTTTAATTTATAGATCTATGATTCAGAACTAGAAACGCAACCAGAATTCAAAGACTTTACAGATATGTTCAGACCATTTCCTATGTATAAGGGAAAAAAACGGGCGATGAGGCTTTAGACGAACAAAATATTACAGGTATTTTTAAGGGTTCAATTGCGATCTACAAGTACCCCTTAAACGGCGATAATGATTACGTATTCGCAAATGGAATCCCTTTGGAAAAAAGTTATTTTGATAACTACCCTGAAAATAACCCCTTGCGGTATTTATTAAGGGTTTATTGTGTTAGAGCGATAAACTTAAGACCTAAAGATATAAATGGTAAATCTGATCCATATATTTGTGTAAAATTGAATCAAAAGGAAATTGTAGATAAAGAAAATTATATTCCACGTAGTGTTAATCCTGTATTTGGCCGGTAAGATTAAAAAAAAATGATATTAAGTCTACTTCTATAACTGTTTTAATAAGATTTTATAGAAATTTCTTCTTAGTTCCAAGATTATTTCAGTAACACACGGTTCATTGCACTACGGCTGCTTGTGCAGTGTAATGACGACAATATTCATTTTATAACATGTTTTCTTCTTAATGACGTTCTTCAGGTTTGGTAATTGTTTTTAATTGCTCTGCTTTAGTTGTGACAAGTACTGTTGTATGTTGCAAGAGTTTTTTGGTTTATGAGTTTCTTTTATTGATTTAGGATGCTGGAAAATTTGTGGCTTAAGTGTTTTTGGATTCTGAAAATTGTGTTTTGTGAATGATTTTATGTATTTTTAACGAGAAGAGAGTGCTGTGCATTATGGAACAAATATATAAAAGAAAATTGTTTGGATGTTAACTCTGTGATATTGTGTGGAAATAGTCACGGTTATTTTCTTAAGACTTCTTCTTCTTCTTCTGCTGCTCCTTCTTAGAGATCACAGAACACCATATATTTTCTTTACTTAATGTTCAATGAAAGTCCATATCTCTGGCTCACTTCTGTGATACTATTTTATTAACTCCTGAAGGGCTACAGGTGTTTATTCCAATATTTGTTAATATCATCATCAACTTCTCGTGTTTTACTGTATCGAACGCTTTATGGTAATCAATGAAGCATTACTAAATATCGCAATTCACATCTCTTTATTTTTAAAATGGCACTTGTATGCTAAAGAGAGCCTCTCTCGTACCCACTGCATCGAAAACAAAACTGTACGGCTGATTTTTTCTTCGCATAGAGCAATAAACGTTGACTTTCGCCATGATCTTGGTATTACTCCGTTTAAATATATGTCATTGAATATTTTTGTTAGTCGTTGTGTACCGTCATCGGTGTTTAATAGCTTTATACGTTTAGCATACGCATTGTCAGGTCCAAGAGCTTTGCCATCTTTTTATTGTGATGTTGCTTTTTTCACTTCATCTGATGTGATTGGTAAGTAGTCATTACATATGTATGACGGAGGTTGTTCAGACCTATTATTACCAAAAACTTGTTGTATGTATTTGGTTTATATACATACTTCTCGATTTTTATCTGTGAGGATGTTCCCCTGTCGATCTTGCAGTTTGCTAGCTGTGTTCGATTTTTGATGACCAGCTGCTTGTTTTACCTTTTTATGCATATTAAATGTATCGTGTTTTTGTTCTGACATTTCCAACAACTTCAACAACCCCAACAACCTCTTCAAGCAGTATTTTTAACCAATTTTCTTTGGCCTTTCGTATTTCGGTTCTTATTTGTCTCTTCATATTTTTGTTATATTGTTTTGTCATTCATTGATTTTCTTCTTTCTTCCGTGAGTTGCAATATATTGTCATTTATCTAACTTTTCCTATTTTCTTTAATTTATATTAGATATTTTCTGATCGTGTTAAAGGTTTTACATATATTCTGGAGTGATTCTTCTGGATCATATGTTTGCTCCATGTTACTTAGTTTTTCTAAGAGAATCCGTGCGACTGTTTCCTTTGTTTCCCTTATCTGTTAGTCTCTTTATATCACATGTTTTGTTACTTTTCTGTTTTTGTAACCTTTTTAAATCTAAACACAAATTTACCAATATCCAATACGAAATCTCTTTTTCACGATTATAATTATCATTTTGATTCCTTATTTTTTTATGTTTCCTGGTTAATCTTGCGGAGAGACCCAAGTATACGAACGTATTGGTGCTAGTTAAGAACGTATTCAGTATTGCAAATTCTTCTACAAATAGTTTTGATCTTTCTCTTCTTTCATTTCATTTCCCTAGACCAAAATAACTAATTAATTCACCACTTTTTTTTTTACCAATTTTTGCATTCATACCTATAATTGCAAGTCACCCATAATAATAGTTAAATCTTCTTTTTTAATTTGTTTAAGTGAATTTTTCTTGAGACGAGTGCAGGTATTATTGTGAAGTGATAAAATTTCGACAAGACTCTTAAGCCCATCGATGATGGTATCGAAACTTGGGCACTAGGCATATTTGGCTTCTGAGTCCGTAAGAACCCTCATGAGTTTGGTACATTCACCAGATTTTTGCAAGTATCCCCTGAAGTAAGAATTTCAGGTAGATCAGAATAATCTTCTAATTTGGCTATAAAAAAAAGGTACTAGGGAGCGGACGGTATTGAATTCTGTGGTTTTGTGGTTTTATTGCTGGAGATTACTTTAATGGAGTGTGTTTTTAAAGCATTTGTTTCCTCTTAATAGATAAAATGTAGGGTGATATCATGTGGCCAAACTTTGGTGAAGTCGATGTGGCTTACAAGTATTGGAGGTACATTTATGATTTTAAAAAAGGTTACTTAGTTTAATAGGTTCTATTGTATGTCAAATATGGCATTATTTTGGATTATTTCTAGCATATATGGAGTTTACCTTGAATAAATCGAACTGAATAAATCGAACAATTTGCTCTTCTTCTTCTTCTTCTACTTTTTGTAGATCTTTCGATCTGTTTAATTCTAAAAGCTGCCTCTGGTTAATTTCTTGGGAGGTAGATTGCCAACTATCCCTCCATCTTTTAGGTGGTCTTCCGGGGGTCTTGAACCAGGCGGATTGTTTTCTAGGGCAATTTTTGGGAGTCTATTCTCATCCATTCGTCTTACATGGTTGTACCACATCCTCTTGCGCTGTCTTCCCCATCTTACAATATCTTGAATTTTGCACTGCTCTCTAATGTTTGTATTTCTCACTTTGTCCCTTCTTGTTTTCCCCATTATTGTTCTTAGGGTTTTCATTTCGGCAACCGTTAGCATCTGTTTCGTTTTGTTGGTATCTTCGCGCACTTCTATGCCATATGTCATGATCGGTCGTATGCAAGTCTTATAGATTCTAATTTTACTATCTGTGCGCATATACGGATTAGACCAGACTATCTCCCGCAGACATCCTGACAGTGCAGATGCTTTGTTGATCTGACCCCTCAGGTCCTTTACTGGGTCATGGGTGCTTGATATATCTATGCCCAGATATCTGAATTGCATCACCTGTTCTATGGGGTTGTCCTCAACCACTAACTTACATCTGAGCGGATCTTTTGCTATTGTCATACATTTAGTTTTGTTGGTAGAGATGTTCATATTTAATAGTCGGCTTGTTTGAAAGAACTGAAAGAGCTGCCTTTGGAGATCATCTTCTGATTCGGCAATAATTGCTGCATCGTCTGGGTAGCACACCATACCAATTCTTTTGTTGCCCATTCTATATCCGAGATTAAGAGATGTTACTTTGTTGATAATTTTGCCCATGAGAAGATTAAACAAGAAGGGGCTTAAACTGTCGCCTTGTCTAATTCCTCCCGGTGTTGGAATATTTTCAGTGAATTCGTCTCCTGCTCTAACTTTGGTTACGTTGTTGTTATTTAGGTTATGGAGTATCTTTGTTATACTGGTCGGTGTTTCATTTTCTATTAATATATTTAGAATGTCTCCCAGGCGAACTCTGTCAAATGCCTTCGTCAAATCAATGAAGCAAATATACGCTGGCATGCCGAACTCTATAGCTTTTTCTTTTATTTGTTTTTATTACAAATACTGCGTCTATTATAGACCGCCCTTTTGTAAAACCTTGCATATAGAACAATTTGCGATTTCTTGAAATTATTGTTGACTTTAGAAGAACTATTGAGTTGAGGAAATTTAGGTACAGCTTTTAATAAGAGTTATTGATAAAAGGCACGATTTTGTTATTTTTTAATATTGTGGGGCTCTTTCATAGGTGTATCTCTATAATTACATTTTTACCTAAACCAAAATTTAAATATTTAATTTCTTGTTTTTAGCTGCTTTGAATTTAGTGCCACTTTTCCTCAAGACTATTTATTAAAAATATCCGTATGGGACTATGACATGACAACAAGCGATGACCTTATTGGAGAAACAGAAATTGATATAGAAAATAGATATTATACCAAACATATGGCATTTTGTGGAATACCAGAAACTTATGAAAAGTTAGTGTGTTTTAATTTTTATTTATTTATTTTTTAATTTGGACGGTGACACGAACGAGCAGATACACTTTCGTCCGAAATATCGTAAGGAGTTCAGTTTTACCTTAAATGTATACATGAAGAAATAACACTTTTGTCCAAGTCAATTATTTTTGCATATACACTTTGCAAAAAAAAGTTGTCTTACTGAGTTATAAAATTTATTATCTTAGATTAGTGAATTTCATTTACAGCTTGCAATATAAATTGGATATAATAATAAACTTACTTAAAAACTAAAATAATGGGATGTATTTTTAACATATTCCAGCCTAGTAATAGTATTTTTCATTAAAATTTTCTATTTTACTTTTCAAAAATTTCTCATGAGCTAAAGTTTTGTTATTAGGTCTGCTCGTAGATCTCATTTGGATATTGATTTTTACCCTCTAAAAACAAGAATATATTATGGTATGTATTAAATATTTATGTAAATGTGAATGGAAATATTCACATGCATTGGTTGTTCTCGCAGTTTCTGATGATTTTGCAGCCCAGACTATCGGTGGAAACGTTGAGTTTTCACCAACATATGTCTCAATTAAATAATCAACAAAAGCATTTAGTACGACACTCTCGGGCATAATTTCGATCAGATCAAAAACTAAACAATCACCGACTTCTTGATGATATAGAAAAAGAAGACCAAAGCAATGACCAATCCATTTTACCACTTCAGTTTTGTTTTTGTAGTCATTTGTTAAGCCAAGTTCTTGAATTTTACGTCACCAAGCCTGCAAAAGATGGAATCTATATCCGATTATTTTAGAGTGACCCCAAACTAATTTAACAGCCTTATGAATTGATTTTTCAAAATAAATGACAATATCTTTTGGAAGAAAATTTAAAGTTAGCTCTGAACATTTGGTCCTTATCAAATTAAAACATTCCCCACTTTTTAACTTTTCGGCAAAATTGAATTTATAGTTATTCACGAATAAAAGTGGAGCACTTCTTTTCGTTGCACTTTTTTTCACCACAATACGTTTGTCGAAATTCTCAATAATGTTTCAAGTATAAATGATTTTCCTAACACAATTCGAGACTATAGCAATATAAACATTTTGGGAATATTTTCACAAATAAATAAATTCAAAGATTCGTACATATTTTATATATTTAATATTAATTGCCTTTTCTAAAAGCATTACGAAACGTCACTTGACCCTTTGGACGAACTTGTGTACCTCAATTTTAGCGGCTTGGACGAAAATGTATACCTTCTTTTATGACACTCATTATTTTGGACGAAAGTGTAATCAACGGCCCGAACGGCAACAGCTAAATTAATTAAAATAACAAAAAAACATATCAGAGAACACTAAGCTCAGGTTAACCAATGCCCTTATTTTTCTCATTTCGACATACGCATCCGAAACATAGAGTCTCAAAAAAATCGATAGAACTAAGATCAAAGCATTCTAGATGTGGATCTACAGAAGAATTCTACACGTGTCCTGGACCAAACACAGAACCAATCGGTGAATTATGAAAGAGCCTAATACAAAATACACAAGCTATTATGGAAAGTCGTAGATCACCATTTCAAACAAAATCAAGACTCTGGTGAGAGTCCAATAGAGACAGATAAAGCTAAAAATATTCAGATTGTTACCACGCCCTGTCAAGGGCTCAATGAATGAGGAGGACGATACTATTGATAAGCTAATGCTCATGAAGCGCTGTGGCGCTAACTGAAGAGGATTAATATTGTTTTTTTATAATCCAATGTATATTATCATTATGTTAGAATTTTGAATGGGTACTTCTTCTGCCTCCCAGTTTAACTCTTCAAATGTTGTGTCAAATAACTATTTTTTAGATCGGGTTATTGTGCATGGAGAGGACAACATAAACCATCATGTATTTTATTGGAGATCTGTAATAAATGGAATGTCGGGATTCCTGAATATAAAGAAAAATCAGTTAAGATTGGAGAAAAAGAATTTTATACAAATAATTTCACATGTAAGTATTATTTTTATATAAGTACATATGGATTACTATAAGCGGACAAATATTAAAAATTAAAGTTTAAATGGAATACTGGAAATATGCTTCAGATGGGAAAATCATTGTAATAATAAAAACAGTCAGTCACATACTTTATAGTGCGTTTTAGTACAATTCACAAGTGATAACTAATATTTTGAGAATGATTTCCGAAGTGGAAATTGAAACGTCAATAAACTTACTTTAACCTTTAATTGTGGCCTATTCCCATTTAACTAGTAATTACTTTAAAATGCCACAAAAAAATAGCTTCAGAACAATATCAATAGACTTCTTAGAATATTAATTACTATTCCTCTTACTGCGACTAGTGTTAAGCGCTCAATACAACCACAAAGAGAGTATAAACCTATTTAAGGAATAGAACCAGTAATCAAAAGCTTACTGGATTTGCCCTACTGTCGTGTCAGTGGAATATTGACGTTAATTCAGACAATCTTTCAGGCGTAATGGCCAAAACAACCAAAAAATCAAATTATAACCATATTCACTTTTATTGTGTTTGTTCTTCTTTACCTTGAAACTGCGAATTTTACATTTAAATAAATATTTCTTCCACTGAAATGATTATAGCGATTTTTTAAGTGTATGAAATCATACGTGAGTAAAGAAAACTTTGATTTTGTTTGATTGGATGATAATAAACTGAATAAGCTGAAATATACAGACAAGAATTTACAAATGAAAATTACAGCAATACTTTTTTACGTTATCGGGAAGAAGAAGCAGCAAATTCAATAGAAATTATAGCCAATACCGATGAAATAGATACTCCAATTAATAAAACAGAACTATTAGAAACAATCCAAATGTTAAAAAACACATCACGAGGTTCGGATGACATACCCGCAATATTTTTAAAACAATTACCTAACGAAGCTTTAGACTTGATATTGAATCTTTTTAATAAAATCTGGTGTAAACAAAAACTTCCTGACATATGAAGACAAACTATTGTCATCCCTATAGTAAAACAAAACAAACCGGCTACAGCAGCAGAATCATATAGGCCAATATCACTGACATGTTCTACTTGCAAACTGCTAGAAAAAATAATAAATAATAGACATATGTATCATTTGGAACATCACAATTTACTTATACCGGAACAAGCTAGATTTCGTCCTTTGAGATCTACTATACAGATTGAACGAAATAAATTCGGAACATAGGAATATAATGTATTTCGGCTCAATTCTGCTGTAGCTGGTTGGCCAACAAAAGATTGTCAAATAATTATATTATAAAAAATCCCATACTTCAGTGGGCTGCTGGATTCTGAACTCATAAAAATTGAAAGCTACACATAAATCTACGATTTTATTATGCTGTCAAACCAGTTATAGTCCAGGAAATGTAGCATTTCACCTCGCAATTTTTTCGTGCGGCGTGGATTGACTTGAAATTTAACAGAAGGTAGGTAATAGCCTAAGTATCAAAATCTATATCGAACCAAAGTGCGCTAAAGCCTAGGGGGTGGTTGCCACCCCATCTCCGGGGTGAAAATTTTTTTTACGTTTTAACTACAGGTTTCGATTAGAAAAGTGATTCTAAACAAAAAATGTGCTATACATTTTTTTATAAAATGATATTTTTCAAGTTATTCGCGATTGAAAGTAACAACTTTTAGACGAAAAAATCCACGTTTTTAATCGATTTTTCGTGAATAACTCGAAAATGGTGCATTTTATCAAAAAAATTGTAGAGAACAAATTTGTAGCTTTTAAAAAGACAAATACAATTACAAATACAATATCAATGTTCAGCGGTTTTCTTCAAATGCCAAATTTGAAAGATTCAAAGTCAAATATCGGGAAAATGGTGCATTTTTGTAAGAAAACTCACAAAACCTTTTTTAAAGAGCATAAATAGACCTATCATAAAAAAATAAGGTCAATACCTCATTTTTTACGAAAAAATCGAGGAAAACAACACCCTAACCACCCCCATAATTAAAATCGATCTTCACCCTTCTGCAATTCCCTTTGTAGATGTATTGTTAATACGTCCAAGAAGTTTGACCCATTTAAAATGCTTAGTTTTAGAAAAAGTACAGCTTAAAGCGAGAAACGATTTACAATTTCATATTTTTTACCCTTCTTTTTTTAAATATGACCGAAAATACTGAATATATGAAAAAAATAAAAATTACCAAATTGTAGCTTTTTTAATGACTAAAATTATCCTTTATTTAGATTTGTTGTACAATGAATATTTGGCGAGATATAGCCGTTTAAAGCATCGATTTACGATCAAGCACCATCTTTTTCGAGCCCTTTAAACTCACCGCATTTAAAAACCAAGGGTTCCAAAAAGATTTAATTCACAGATCCTTGTAGCTATTAAAAACCTCTACAAATCGTTTGTGAAGAAACATCTATCGTTAAAATTAAAGGAAATACGTTAAAAAAACCAGTTAATTTTTTTCCGGAAAATTCCATTAGTATAGTACAGTACATTTCGGAGCATAATAATCTACAAAACCGGTATATTAGCTAGTGGGGCGTTATACATTCGAAATTTTAAGCGTTCTTATTTTGAAATCCCATACAACAGAATAAAACATCTGCTCATATGTCTATGGCTTGGCAATGAAAATATCAGAGCAACAGATTGGGGATGGTTTTCCAAAGATGGTTAGGTATTACCCGTACGCATGAACAAACAACCTGCACCCGATAAATTTTTGAAAATTATTTTTTGCCAATGCAAAAAAGGATGCGGCGTTTCATATGGGTGCAGAAAAGTTGGTTTATACTGTAACTCTACTTGTTCTGGGTGCTCAGGTGAAGGGTGCAATAACAGTCCACCAATAATTGAGGAAGATGATGATGACATAGATCACGATGAAGATGTAATTGATGACGAATAAAATTAATATTATAATTGTTTTACCTATAAATGTAAATATTTTCAACTATTTATGTAAATGTATAAGAATAATATGGTGCCTTTTTATGTTGATATTTTTTTTTGTATTTAATTCTACTTTTTTCAATTTATATCTTATAAATTAGTTTATAAAAACTGCAATGTTGTAAAGGGTGATTTTCAAAAATGAAAAGTTGCAAAATTTTGGCAAAAAATTGTTTTCACCTATAGCACTCATAACAATTGATTTTTAAGGGTTGAAAATGTATGAAATTGTATTTTAAAGTATAAAAAAACTCACTATTTAACTAATCCAAACCAAATTTCACTTATCTTAGGATTTGTAATATTATTTTACAATTTTTGAAAATTAGGGGTAGTTTTCACCCCTAAGAACAATCAGGGTTCATCGGCATGACATAAACTATAAAGCAGAGGGTGAGTTGAGCTTAATTACAAATTTTTATGCAAGTCGTTCCAAGGTGAAATCGTTTTCTTCGCATTACTAATTTTTTTTATATTAATCTCTAATGAGGGTCGCTTTTTAAGGGTTGAAATATGATGGAACTTTATTGAAAAGCACGAAACTATCATTATTTAATTAATTCAAACCAAATTTTACCCATATTCAGGTTTAATATGTTATTTTATAATTTTTGACAATTAGGGGTAGTTTTCACCCCTAAGAACAATCAGGGTTCGTCGACATGACATAAACTATAAATCAGCGGGTGAATTGAGCTTAAATCCAAATTTTTATCCAAATCGATCCAAGGCGAAATCATTTTTTTTTAATTAGTAATTTTTTATATTAATCTCTAACAAGGGTTGCTTTTTAAGGGTTGAAATATGATGGAACTCTATTCAAAAGTATAAAATAATCATTATTTAATTAATTCAACCCAAATCTTACCCATATTCAGGTTTAATATGTTATTTTATAATTTTTGACAATTAGGGGTAGTTTTCACTCCTAAAACCCTTCAGCGCACTTCGGTTCGATATAGATTTTGATCCTTGGGCTATTACCTACCTTCTGCTAAAATTTCAACTGGATACATGCAGGGCGAAAAAATTGCGAGGTTTTAACTTTTTTCGAGCTTCAATTCCTGAACTATTACGCCTCCTTAGACAAACCCGTCTTACGCAAACAACTTTGTTGCGAGACAGATAGTTGAACGATATTTTATACAATGTCTATACCCAGGTATGGATTTATTTTTGTCCAAGTTTTATATTGGTCCACTATTTTAAATGCAGTTCAAACAGACATGTATTAAATTGTATGTTCCCTTTTAATTTGGTTCAATCTGTATACAATGTTTTACATTGAGAAAATCAAACTAATGAAGCCTTCTGTAACAAACATATATGCATAGGTATTTACTACAGAATATTAACAAACCTGCAGACCTGAGGACCTCAAGGAAACATGTTGTCATTTTTGAATAACTTTCTAAATGAACGCAAATTTTCGGTACGTAGTAATGGATAATACGATAATATTTATCAAAGAAAAAATATTAACTCGATGGTCAAACTGTTACAAGAAGAACTAAATTAATAAACTAAATAAATCTGATATGGCACGCGAAGAACAAGAAGCGACATCTAACAATATACGGATTCATCAGTCAAACGTATTTGTGCAGAAAGCTTGATTCATAGTAATATTATAAGACAAACTACACATTTTTTTATCAAATGACTTCAAAACATGAACAAAAATACAACTAAAAAATCTTTTAATATTTTGTTCTTTTTTTAAGATTGATTATTTTATAAATTATCCTCAATATAAAAAATTCGTTCGGCTGCCATCTACCGGACGATTACCACTCCAATTGTTATATTTTTACAGCTAGTGGTGACCGCGAGTATGATCAAGAAGTTCTTGCATTGACCGCACTGAGGCGTTGGAGAGAAATGCCTCTAGTTGGCTTTCCTTTAGTACCAGAACATGTCGAAACGAGATCGTTGTTTCACCCCTGGAAACCAGGTGTCGAACAGGTAATTCGTTTTTATGAGTAAATAAATGGAAGACTTTTTTAAATGTAGTAGTCTTATTTTATAATATTAAATTAATTCCGAATGTGTTCGTTTTGTACAGAAAATAAAAAAATGGTTTATTTCATTTTGTTTCGGAACTCTTTACTTATTACATCTTGAGGAATATACCATCAGTTTTCTAAACTGTTGGATTATTGTACTTAATTTAAATTTCGAGTGTTTTGAATTTATTTGATATTCAAACAAAATAAACATTGAGAAATCTGTGTGCTTTTAATATCAAAGATTTTATTGGGATTTTGATTTTCTTTTAAAAATATTTAGTCAATTATCTTTTAAAAATTAGGTAGGAGAAAGTGGTCCACAGTGAGACAGTTTTTAGTAATTCGAATTTTTTCACAACTTTTTCTATATATATTGAAATCAAAACAAATAATCCTGTAAATTTGCCTTTAAAGAGAAAAGAACACAACAGAAATAGATTTCAATTTGGAAAAACGTAAGTGTAATAAAATCTTTTTCGTTGCAAATGGTCCACACTGAAACACACAGTGGTCCACAACGAGACATCATTCATTGAACATGTATTAGCCAAAATTCACTTCGAACTGCACACAGTTATTTAGCCTTTTTCTTTCAGTAGCAACTAGCACTAGTTCAGTAGTAAAGTTCAGTAGTAGTAAACACTAGCAACTTCAGGAACGTTTGGATAAAAGAATAAGAGATAAATTAAAATTTTGCTAACAATAGTACATTGTTTACCGGGTAGGAAAAGCTTAACATTCCTGGACGACTGTGAAGATTGCTAAGTCGAGGCGCAAGCCGAGGACTTAGCAACACAGAGTCCAGGAATGTGGCTTTTCCTACGAGGTAAACATACTATTTTTCCGCAAATCGTTTAAAATTCGACAGATATTGATTGATTTAAAAAAAAAACGCGATAATTGTATTCCCAAATAAATGGTGCTTTGAAATTCCTAATAAAATTACTTGGGTTACTATGGAAACGTATTGAGGTTGAATTGTCAAACTTGACGCTTATAAATTTAATTGCTGGTGTTTTTCGAAAGTAAAATGATAAGTGATGATGAAATTTCCATTCTGGGACTCCTCCAGAGATGGTTGAGGCAGTGAATACTGCTTCATTAGAATTATTGCCAAAGAAATCAAGAGAAAAGTACGAAAATGCATACAGACGTTTTATGGATTATCGCATGAGTAAAAATACGAGTTCTTTCTCAGAAAATGATGTAAATGTTAAGAATCGCTTAACAATAAGGTTGAGGTGGCAAATAAAATTTTCACAATACAAAATATTCAACAAAATGACACTTCCACCCTGCATGTTGTCCAAAATGTTTCTCATAGTTCTAAGAGTGTTCCTCCAATGTTCAATAATTGTACTAACATGTCAAATTACTGTAAATATAACAAATTGATCTTAAAAAATGTATTCAGCAATGACTTGATGTTTTCAAAATATAAATTAATTCCTTATAAGCAATGTGTTTTCTATCATTTATGTAGAACACTAACAACTGTACGGAAATATCATTTCCTTACAGTAAAGGAAATGACATTTCCTTACAGTAAGGAAGTCCTGACTTTTTCTTCAAGAAATTTTGACAGGAATGTCAAAATTTCCTGGCGATTTGCGGAAAAATATTTTACTGACTTTTTACTTGCGAACTTTATGAGAACACTAGCGGACCCAACAAACTTTGTTCTGTCAAATAGATTTTTAATGTGGCAGTTAATTTCTTTAATTCTCCTGAAGAGAACCGTCACCATGATGATAGGGCGGTGTGTGAGGGTTAGCTCGGGTGACCTAAGTATCTTCGCCTCGACGAACTTTGGCCACCCTTTTGGACCCACTAAAAACCCCGAATGGGATGTCTGCCAGAGGGCTTCAAACTAAAAGAAGAAAAGGTTCAAACCTGATTGAAAAATGATCTAAAGGGATAGTGAAAACCTAAAGGTGACAAATATTTATAAAGTGGATGCTTTCATTGACAAAACATGGAGATAATTGTAACAATAAAACACTGAAAACTTTGTTTTCAAACTTCCAAAAATTTATTTTTAACTCTTATCACTACAGCTGTTTCGGCTGATTGCCTTTCTCAAGTGAGAAATAGTACCAGTATAAAATGAGTATCAGTAGCAATATTAAAATGAGTTTTGGAATGATTATTCATCATACAATATCGGTAATAGTCAATACATTTTCTACAGTCTTTCCTCGGCCGAAGGTTTTTTAGAACCCCACAATGTATTCTGGGTATTGACATCTCCAAGAAGAAGGAAAGGTGAAGAAAGTTGTAATATGAGGTGCACTAAATCGGCTTTGGATAAACTATAATTTGGAGAAATATAAATACTACAAACTGACATTTTATTTGGACACCTAATGTTAACGGCGATAGCTTCTAGGTTTGTGCAAATGGGAAGATTTGTGAAGTAGAGATTATTGGATATGAATATGGATGTTTTACCGCTAGCTCTAATATAGTCAGTTCTCAAGAAATGATATCCTATAAAACCATTTAGAAGTCTTTTGTGGTCAGATTTGAAATTCGTTTCTTCTAAACATACTATGTCGTCAGGCTTCCCCGGTTTCTATATAACATGTAGCTTCCCCATTTTAAAAAAATTTAAAGTGTTTGTTTGTCTTTGTGTATTGTATTGTTATGTCCAAATTTACATGTATGACATTCTGCTCATGTCGGATAGGCCACAACTGACGAAATGCCCTGAGGATGATCTATTGATCGAAAGTACTTGGGCAAGATTTATTTAATTACTGTGTTCGATATTTGCCTTGTATACCGTCAAAGTTCTTTTCATATTGTTCAATTTCATTACATTCTTTACTATGAAAATTGTGTTTTCGCGTATTTTATCTTCTGCCTGATTATTGCGTAGATCCTCTTGTATTCGGTTTTTTTTCTTTATTTTTGACTTTTCTTTGATCCATAAGTCTCAGTATTTCTTCTGTCATCCACCTTAATTTTTTTCTTGCTTTTAGCGCACTCAATTTTGTTTCTTGAACTGTCTTTAAGATGTCTTTAATGCTCGTCCAGTTTTCCTCAGTACTTTCTTCTTTGCTTGATGTTAACTTCATTTTTTGTTCTAATATACTAGTTATTTCTTGTTTCACAGTATCATTTAGCATCTTTTCTCTATCAATAGTATCTGTTTGCTTATTCGTCCTTGCAACTCTTTTTAATCTCAGTCTTATTTTTCCTACTAAAATATTGTGATCTGTTGGTACATCTGCGCCTGGATATGTTTTTACTGCTAGTACTGAATTTCTGTATCTCTTATTTATACATATAAAGTCTATTTGGTTACGAACAACTCGTTCAGGTGTATCTGCTGGTGATTTCCAGGTTTAAAGACGACGTTTTAGAAGTTTGAAAATTGTGTTTGTTATTACTAATTGCTTTTCTACGCAAAAAGATGCCAACGTATCTCCTCTTTCATTTCGTATTCCCAGACCATATTTTCCTATGATATCTTCCTGTTCACCTTCACCAATCTTTGCATTAAAATCTCCCATGATAATATTGAGATCGTGTTTCTTTGAAGGTGCAAATACTTTTGCTAAATCATGATAGAATTTTTTAATTTCTTCTTGTTCATAGTCTTGTGTGGGTGCATATACTTTTAATATGTTCACATTGATTGTTGTAGATTGTATTTGTATCATCAGTATCCTGTCTGAAAATAGGACGACGTTTTTTACACCTTTATCTCTTTCCTTCGACACAATTATTGCTACATCATTCTTGTGTTTTGAGCTGTCTTCTCCTGAATAGTATACAATGTGATCATCTACAGTTACTTTTTCAGACCCTGGCCATCTCATTTCACTTATTCTAAGGATACTTATATTTAGACGCTTAGTCTTAGCACCCCTGCTCCATTTAAGGAGCGCCCGTGCTCGGGGCCGTTGTATTTATCAGCCATTTCCATGATTGTTTCTTGGGAAAATTAGGCTCTAGGTGGTTTTCCGTTGCCTTCCTAGAGTGTGTAATAGAAATTAATATAGTGTCCCGTCTGTCCTGGAAAACCTAATAGCCATTCGGGGTCGGAAGAATCAAGAGTTAGCCAAGAGAGGCCGATAGGACAGAATAGAACAAGTGTTTATTAAAAATTGACAGCACTAGTGTATTTGATTGGTTATGTCTTCAAGATAATAAAGTAAATTAACTTATGTACAACTCACTTTGAGACAGTTATAACATCAGTTCACGATTCATTGTGTTCCATCAACTGTATGGTTCAAATTTTAGACAAAAGTTTTTTTTTAAATCCGTAAATTTTGACAAAATTTCGGCACTTCACACAACAAAATTTAATTCGTTCAGTTCCCGTTGACAGTTCTTGTTGCAAAACTAATACATTTACTGGACCACACTTACCAATGCAAACGTATTGATTACTATTTGAACTATCACTTTCTATGGATAAACAATGTGCTATTGATCTATAAATAGATAGAAATTACTATTATAAACTACTTACTATTTATTAAATTATAAAATGTTTACTTTACAATGCGTCTTAAATATATTTAATATTCTCTGATTAAATATGTTTTTCAGGGAAAGCTTCAACTTTGGATAGACATATTTCCAATAATCGATGTACCTCCTCCAAAGAAAGTAGATATATGTCTTAGAAAACCGATGCCGTATGAGCTTCGTGTGATTATTTGGAACACAGATGAAGTTTTACTCGACGAAGACGACTTTTTTAGCGGCGAGAGAAAATCTGATATTTATGTTAAAGGGTAATTACTTGTTATTTCTTTAAAATTCTGAGCAGAAACAGCGAGAGAATGCAGTACGTGTTAAAAGATTATACAAACAAAACTGCCAACCCCGAGTAAATACTGCGTAAAAAAGATGAGAAATAGCAGCTTTTAAGACAGCAGAAAAAGTAAAAGACGTATAAAAACAGTTATATGTATACAGGGTGAGTCATGAGGAACTTTACATACTTCTACCATATGTAGAGTCCCTCAGGGAGCATATCATGTGGCCACTAAAAAATGTCAACTCCTCTTCTTTATTAATTAACAGGGTAATTTGTGTAATTAACCATTTATTTCATTTTACTGTAGTGTTTATACGGCTCATTTGATTTTTTAGTTTTTGCATGATACAGTACACTACTATCAAGCATTCGACTGGTATTAGCTAAACTAAAAAATTCCAGGACTGGCTTTGGAAAAATTAATTTATTCGTATTAAATATTACACCCTGTATATATATTTTTTAAAATGCAATAAGTGATTTTCAAACTACATAAATAGCCAATGAAAACGACATATGCGACAATGTTGTCGCACTTTTGTTAAATTTTTAGTGAACGATCAAATCTTGCCAAAAATAGAACAACCATAATGAAGTATCAAATTATAAGGTAATTAATTTAAACAAATGTTATAAATTTCAAACATTTTAATTGAAATGTTAAACTGAGTCACTGCACAACAAAAAACAGTAACTACTAACAATAACGAAGAACAATTTAAAAAAAAAAACCATAAATATGTACATAGTTATGAGAAACCCATAAATTAGAACTGGAAAAGATACAATAATGGTAACAAAATAAAAATAATTCAAAATAGATTTTCGAAATGGAACCCTGCAGCCTGTACACATTTTTGTTGCCGAATTGTTAATTGACGTATTGAATTACGGATACTCTGGGGATCGTTTCTAATAGTATAACAACAATGTATAATTCTATCAATTAATTGTCGGTTATTAATATTCACTGCGTAAACTAGTTGCTTCAATCGTCCCCAAATATGGTAATCAACGGGTCACACGTTAACCGAAAACCTCAACTGAGAACGACGTTCTAGAATAGCATGGGGATTTTCTTCTGCCCACACATGTGAATTTCGTGAATTATTTATCCCGTCTCTGGTAAATTGTTCTTCATCTGTAAATAGTGTCCTGTATAGCGTTGGTCGATTATTGTTAAACCATCTACAAAATTCCAACCTATCGATCTCATCTCCAGCATGTAGTCGCTGAACCATTTAAATGTGATATGGGCATAGATTATTTTTTTGTAAGACTCTACTTACTTTTGATTGCGTAACATTGAGTTCTCGACTTACTTGTCTAGTGCTTATTGTAGGGTTCATAGTAACGGCGTCCATAATGTCATCTTCCTGCGCTTCATCTACATGTCGCTCTGTTGTTCCACTAGGAGAAGTGCCATTTTCTCGCAAATAATTAAAAACTGACCCAAATGTTGGATGACTGGAGTTCGACGATTAGGAAATCTCCTGCGATATTCTCTACTAGCAGCCCTACCATTCCTATTACAGAATCCATAAACAAATATTATGTCTGCATATTCTGTGGTCGAAAACTGATGTGGCATTTTGAACGAAAGTAACAAAAGCTCTACCAAAACATAACGTAGATATGACAGAAGAAATATATATTCTTGTACACATAAATAACAAATGATAATGACAATAATGACAATGGGTATAAAATATCAAGAAACGTCAAACGGTCAACGCCAACCTTCATTTTAAACTTTTTTAGATTTATTTTTATTTAGTACAGTTGATGCAATGTATTATTATTTGACATAAAATTTTAATCATTTACAATCAAAAAAAAACTAACACATACAAGAGGTTTGACTTTTTAACCAATTTAATTTATTATTTATTGAAAATAATGCCCCAATACGATCTATAAGTAAAAATTTAAAATTGAAAAACAATTGATTCTATCGTAGAGATAATACAAAGTGACAGTAAAGATGTTAATTTTCTACGTATTAGATTATGTTGTAGGAACTCATTTAATTAAAATGTTTGAAATTTATAACATTTGTTTAAATTAATACCTTATAATTTGATACTTCATTATGGTTGTTCTATTTTTGGTAAGATTTGATCGTTCACTAAAAATTTAATAAAAGTGCGACAACATTGTCGCATATGTCGTTTTCATTGGCTATTTATGTAGTTTGAAAATCACTTATTGCATTTTAAAAAAATATACACAGGTTGTAATATTTAATACGAATCCCTAAATTAATTTTTCCAAAGCCAGTCCTGGAATTTTTTAGTTTAGCTAATACCCGTCGAATGCTTGATAGTAGTGTACTGTATCATGCAAAAATTAAAAAAATCAAATGAGCCGTATAAACACTACAGTAAAATGAAATAAATGGTCAATTACACAAATCACCCTGTTAATTAATAAAGAAGAGGAGTTGACATTTTTTAGTGGCCACATGATATGCTCCCTGAGGGACTCAGGGAGCATACTTCTACATATGGTAGAAGTATGTAAAGTTCCTCATGACTCACCCTGTATAACTCTTGGATCATTGATTAGTATTAGTAAATGCCAATATCTTGTCATGCCAAATTCTTTTTGACACACCATATATTTTTTGCACATTTTCATCAATAAAAATTAGGATATAGTGTACCACTTAGATTTATATTTTTAGGATGTTTTTTTCTTGAAATAAATTTAATATTACTATGAAATGGAAATCCATTAGGTATAAAATGTGACATAAGTGTTTCTCACAAAAAGCGGTGGAAAAAACAAAGAGAAATAAAGAGAGTTTATCAGCAGATTTAAAATTCTAGGGCAATTTTATTTTCTACGCAGTTTTAAAAATCGTAAAGAGAATAAAACACAGTTTATTCTAAGATATTGTAAAAATTAGTTTGAAAACTAAACAAATAATCCAGTCGTCATAGGTTTAACCTATAAAAATCTTACTAACAACCTGAATTCAGGTTCAGGTTTCAGTAGATATACTGAAAAACCAGTAGACCTGGTAACCCTGCGAAAGATAGTAATGGACAACGTACAGGCACCAAAACATGGCGACTACATCGAAACTGGCTTCACTTTTCGAAGGTTTATTAAATGAATGTTACCTGTCCTCTCTCTTTCATTGTCTAAGAATTGTACACAAAAAATGCTTATACTCTTCGACATTCACTTTCTTTGGCAAAGATACAAATGCTGATGTCAACATTTCTCTAAAGATGATTCCCGTAGTATAGATAGCGTTGAACAGTCCTATTATGTCCAGGTTTTTCTCGTTAACCAACTTTAATAGCACGCTTGGTAATTCATCTGGACCAGCAGATTTATTGATTTTCATTGATTTTAATGCCTGACTAACCTCTGATTTGGTTATATCTGAGCCTACATCTCCCGTTTTACTATCTACAGATCTACTAGCTTCTCTCTCTCTCTCTCTCTCTCTCTCTATATATAATATATATATATATATATTATATATATATATATATATATATATATATATATATATATATATTATTGTGATATTTAAAGTCTTGGTGCGCCAAGCAATTAATTAGCTAATTAATTAATTAATTAATTAAAATTATTTAAATGATATGACTATGATTCTAATCACACTTTTTAATTCTCTTATCTCAGGGTTCTATTCGTGCTTCTATATCTATGCTTTACATGTGAAAGGTAAGGTCCAAAGAATACCGGAATAATAAAAAACATAGATGATATAACATTATATATTGAAATAAAAATAATGAAATATTTCACACTCAAATGTTTTCAATAAACAAAATCTCATATAATGATTCTCAAAATTTTGTTCTACGTACGTGAACCTTCAAAATTAATGGTACAAACAATATTAGTTGAAATCTCAAAATCCCAAATATTATTCTAAATCTCCTAATCAAAATATTTATATCCTTTCTAAATTAAGTGTAAAAATTGTGTTATCAATAAAAGAAAAACTGCAGAAAACAAATCTACTCTCTCTGATGATAAGTGGTCCAAATCCTCTGTTCCTTGTAGAATATACTATCTACTCTCAGCCGCTCCCTAGGTAATCAGCAATCTTACAACAAATTATTGCAAGTTTATCATCCTTAATGATCTCCTTCAAATGCACGAATCGTTCAAATTATGCTAGCTTCTTCTTCTCTCAATAAACTGAATCTCTCGTTGGCCTGAACAGTGACTCTTGGAATATAAGTAGAAAAATATAACTTACAATCTTTTACTGGATCAGCTTCTGTCAGATACACTAACTACACGAAAACTCACAAACTTTCACTGCTACTGCTTCCTACCTCTGGGAAACTACCCGAGAACAACGGCCGTTCGCCTTGCACCCTTGGAAACCAACTGACTATCTTTTTTTCTTCAAAAACTAACTAAAGTCTCATTCTCAAACCAAACCTCCCACCTTTTCCAATCTCATCCAATCAAAACGCGTCATACATCTCCCATTTCTTCATTTCGATAACACACAAATTTTTACCTACAATTATAAAATTTCCTAAAACTTGTTTACAAAATAATATTTTCCTACCAATTCTTAAAAACTAACAAAAACATATCTTTCTAAAATCTATTCTATTATCCTAATTACTGCATAACATTTATTGGAAAAACCGCTTCAATTGTCTATGGATTTCACTTCAGCTTATTCACGTCATACAAATATATTTTAACAAAGAAAATAATTTATGCATATCTTACGTTTTGTTAAATACAGGTAATCCAAAATTAAAAGACTTTCATTCTTCGAAATGTTTGTAGATTATTGTTTCACTTATCTGAATTATTTTAATGTTTTTGAACTTTGAAATATTTTAAGCAAACCAATATTTTTCTCGATTTTTACATATCATAACAATTATATATATATATATATATATATATATATATATATATATATATTCAAAATATTCTATCCTGATGTATTCAAAATATCAA